GTAGCCCATAGGAATATATTCCTGTTTGCGGATCTCTGCTCCAGCTAAATGGCAGAGCCGCACCAGAGACAATGGAAAAATAGTCAGGGGGTTTAGGTCAATGGGATATCTCCCCCCAAAAAGCTCTTCCACTGTGATAAACGGATCTTGAATAGACTCGGGGGGGAATATTTCCTACAAGATGAGGGAGTTGATTAGTAGGATGAAAGAAAGATAAAGATATAGTAGGGAAGGGGAGAGCATGCATATGGATCCATGACAAGTTCATTATCCACAACCCGGCAGACGGTTAAAGTGGCCTTGATTTCATTGTTTATATTTGCTGCTAATAATTTAAATAATAGAACGACCTTCACAGCCCCAGCAGATCCTTCGAGCCACAATTTGCAGTCACGTTCTAACTGGGCCTGCGACTCGCTCCACCCCGCTTCCAGGACGATAGTTGGAAACTCAGTTGGTACATCATTAACGCGGGGGCTATAACAAAGGTCCGGTGTCTTGTTTGAGCCTGCGAACGCACCAACAAAGGTATCGTATGCTATTCAATTATTAGTATGGACTGGGGAGGTTCTGTACAGCAGAGCAAAGGGACATACTAATCATAGCATCGGTTAGCGAGACGCAAGCGATTGGTGTAAGGAGGCCGTAGCATATCCACAAGCTGAACTCAGTTCTCATCCAGCCCACCGCAGTTTCATGCAGGCGACTCGGCATGACAACACGGAGGTACCTGTCGGGGGCAATAAAGTGAATTCTGGTAATAGTTAGTACGTTCTTCCTCATCCTGGGCATATACAAGGCATAGGGATAAAGTATCAGAACAGTTAATTTAGGTTAACCTGCAAAATAAAACCTGCTCTGTACGAAAACTTTACCCCTGGAACTTGTACTCACCTCAAGCCAAGGGCACTGAGATCTTTCTGAATGAGAAGGTTATAGAGAATTTTGGCGGACACGGTTGGATCAAGATTTGAGAACGTAAGAAACTCACAGGTGCAAGTTTCAAACGCCTTGTGGATTTGTGCGAGGATTTGTGCAGCCATGGTGAGGTGGGGTCACTCTAGCGGTTGAAGTGATGGGAAAAAAGGTAGACAGAGCTTGCGTGGTTTATATAGATCTCACTGCGGGACACGTTACCAGGTAAAGACTGCTGCAGCTCTCCAATAACCCTAACCCCTACAGGCAGGATGCATGGGCGAAGGCGATAAGGATAACAGCGACATGCCTTATCTCCACAAATCTAATCTTGAGGCAGAGAATCGGTTTCTTGTCGCCGTAAACACATTATCACTGGTGAAATCCGATAGTTTGTTTTCATACACGGAGCCTCTGAACCCTCTCAGCTGGGTCCTTCACCCTTTACACTGGGTTATGCTGTTCCGTCAGTTTGTCCAGCTGAACCGGAAGGTTACTCACTTCCCAATTCTGTTACTCATATTTCTCTCTGAGCGGGGTGTCCTCGGGAATTCTATCTTCGCACAATCGGATGTATTGTCCAAGAAGCGCACGCGAAGGGCTGTCCATGAATCATTCGATCCGCTCGACCAGTATATTTAACCCAATGTCTCGCAGGATCCGTACTGGCTCAGATTTGTTCAGTAGGTGTACAGCACCGCACCGTACTATCCCATATGCCACTCACCTTCATCCAGGAATACCGGTACTCGCCTGTGTTTCCGCCCCTCCCCCCCCCCCCCCGAGAAAGAAACCCCGAATTATGGTTTTTATTTTATCTTTAGAGTGACTTATCTAGTGAGCTGATATCACCACCATAATAATAACCACATAGTATCTACTAGAGTCATATATCGGGCCTAACTTAAGATTGATTTGGAATCACAATTTCTCTAACATCGCGATGGGTAGTCCACACACCATTCGGTCGGTAATCCGAACCACCGCATCCTACCCAGGCGGCGATAGTCGAGAACCGATCAAGCACCTCCTGTTAGGGCAGACGCAATGAGCAAATCATGAACTGTGTGCTGTAGAATTGGGGAATTAAGAAATTCCAGAAGATTGAAATGGAGAGCTATTGCGGTATGATAGGACCCCACACCTGAATTATCCCAAAGGATTGGAATCCATGATCGGTGGGGGAGTAGGAAAGGGGCAAAGGGGGTAAAAAAAAGAACCGAAGGGGCATTGTCATTTCGACAACTTTCACTTGATCAACCCGACTATTATAAATTCTACTCGTAGCTATGTAGATATTTTGGTACTGTGTGAGAGTGAATAACCTATTGAGGTGTGACATTCGACGCTATCTATCACACATCCACCGTTTACCCCCAAAATTTGTACCTATTCCCTTCAAGGATTTCGGTTCGAATACCCCCAGAACATGGTAATAACGAATTTTTAATAGAAATTCCAATTCTATGAGTTCCTGGAGATAACGAAAATTCCCTCTAAGCTTGGCTTGATCCTTACTTGTTCAATTGGGCGCCCCAACTCCAAACCACCTGGTCATCATTCTTGATCCTGTTACCTTATATTTCTGTCCTTCCAGAAATCGTGATCGTCCGGTCGAATGATCCGAGATCACCACCGGCCATCCACCGGTTTTAGGCAACCCCCCGGATACTGTACAGTGTTTTCTGCGAGCTCCAGACCGAACTCACTGTGCAATCCGTGTCGGAGCGACCGTCGTTGACACCGATGTCTTCTCCAACCTCCACGTTCCAGGTTTCATAGTCTTCTTATATTCCCGGCCCCCCCCCTCCCCCATACCCTACTCTACATTTCCAAGGCCTGCAGGTGTTTTAGTGGATATTGTTGGTGTGACTGGTTGCAGGGTGGGGTTGTGGTATCTTATGTTAGGGCACTGTCCGGCGGTGTATCATGTGCCTGGTGCAGTATGTGAATTTGCGGTTGATTGAGAGAATAACATTTTGATTATACTCCACCAGTGTGTTCTCCATACTGTAACTGTACGCAGATTTTTTATCCCCCATTCAGTGTCATGTGATATCACTCGGTTCCCACCCCTGTTACCACCGGTTTCCTATGCCAAGACCGCCCCCCTTCTTCCAAGTTTCCACTTGAATCCACCCCCGAGTTATTCTTAGAATCAGAGGTTCCACCGTGGTGGATTTCCACTGTTGGAAGATGTGGCTTCTCAGGATTTCATTACTAGATGGTTACCGCATCGGATCTGTTTGGTATAGGGATCCCGAGCTGGAGGGTCCGAGTAGGTCCTATTGGGAAACTGGCTTGGATGATATAGGACACGCTGTTCAAAGTGACTGCTAAACTCATGTAGTATATTAGTACTTCCTTCTCGCAGGAGATGGAATAGAAGGACAAGTCTTTTCTCAACTCTTGAATGCAGTGATATTACAACATCCACCATCCAATTCAGGTCGAGTGAGAGGTTGTGAGGCTTTTCATCTCGGAAATGTGCAAGATGGTTTGGGGGAGTGAATGGGTGGCTAATGTGGGGGGGTTTCAGAAGTTAAAGTGGAAATCAAAAACATCAAGACAGTTCATGTTTATAGTCTTGAACTGAGCAGGATTAAGGATTTGAGTGTGTTGTCGGCTTGCTCGGAGAGGGTTCACGCGGAATTTATTTACGAGGATGAACATGCTGCAGGAAGCATCTAGGGCATGATAGTTAATCGTGCCGCGATTGTGGGTCCCTTCTCCTTGTTACTGGCACTGAATTTGTGCTAACCGGGTGACAGAAAGCCCCGAGGCCGAACAGGCCACCAGCCATACCGCATGCCGTGGCTACCGCGGCTGTGCTGAAGGCGAGTGAGAAGGCTGAGACAAAGGAAAGAGTTGAGGCCAAGTCAAAACGGATACAAAGACTAAGGCGAAACATGAACCTGAGACTAAGGTAGAGAATAAGCCCACTCAGATGAAGCGTTCTCAATCGGCAACTTAAGCTGCACTGATGAAACAGGGATCTTCTAATCTGTTTACTTCATGGGGCAATGCTGCCAATAAGAAGGCAGAATCCAATCTTTCTTCAACTGCGCATAGTCCTAAAACTGAAGAAGGTTGGTTATACTCACATCTTACGATTACCATGATGGATACTCATTTGTGATTTCAGTCCCGGTTAGAATGGAACTTGGTAGCGAGGAAGAGGAAGGTTTTGAACCTACTCTCCTTAGAGACACCGCTGAAGATGTCAAAAAGAGAAGGGAGAGGGATGATGAACTTACTAAAATGATAGAGATGAGTGATGATGAAGGAATGTTTGTGCTTGCCAACTTGATTGTTTCCCGGGGTGCTAACAGTTGACAGATATCAAAGCTAAGCCTAAAAGGAGAGTAAGGGAATATGTGAGTGATGAGGAGGAAGAAGAGTTGGAAGAACAAGTTCCAGAAGTTCAAAAGCCGCCAGAAGATGAGCCTGTCGAACTCCCTACTGGTAGTGTTGTGAGTGCTGTCACCAAAGGCGGTAGAAGATGCGGGAGGAGAAAGGTCAATAAAAAGGTACAAGTTAAGGATGAGGATGGGTATCTTGGTGAGCATTTGTCCTATTACCCGCTCCCCCACACAGACTGACATTTCTCTACAGTCACAAAGCTTGAGCCTGTGTGGGAATCCTTTTTGAAAGAGGAGCCTACACCAAAGCCCAAGCCAAAGCCCAAGCCTGCGCCAAAGGGTAAAAAGAAAAGCACGGGACCCGGGACTAGGCAAGGGAGTATCAACTCTTACCTCTTCACAAGGTAGACCGCCTCAACAAGAATGGCATCAAGTCTGGAGAGCAAGATCAAAAAGTTGCACTATCAAACAGAGCAGTGCGATTGCTTGAGTAAAATGAATAAACCAGGATAGTCTGCACAGAAATACTCAATTTGACGATATGGTACGGTATTGTAATCAAGAAATAGTCTATGGAGTTCTTTTTTCGTGAGATAAACAAATGGATCTAGTAATCGCCTAGGTGGCAAATCTGTGGAATCTGGGCGACAGCTATGCGCCGGGTCGTGGTGCGCAGCCCCTGGAGGAACTTGTTATTTGCTCAGGAGGAACAAAAAAAGGATCCTAACGCGCCCCAAAGAGGCATCCAGGGCACCGCTTACGGACCCTCATCGTAAAAGATCACTCACAATATGCACTGTATGATATCTCGATTATCAGCGGGATGGGCTAGGCAACCTCTTGCTCCAGCTCACCCCGATACCACACAACTTAAGGTATCTTTCTTCATGGCAATCTGTTCACCGATACCTGCAATAGCGGGAGGAAGTGATGAATACGGATCTCCGATCCCCGAAATGAAGCTCGACTCCCCATCGTTACTTGGTTTTGTGCCGAGAGACACAGACGCAGGTTGCCCTGGGTTATTGGTGGCGATGGTGAAACAAAAGCCCAACACCCGAAAATCGCAAAAATACCCTTGGGTGGAGAAGACTGATGTTCAGGGAGGTTTCTAAAGAAACGAGATTTAAGCGGGGTAGATGCGCACCACTTGTCTTATTAATAGACTGATGGCCAAACATGGCATGATACTAACCCTGTGTGGAGGGGATGGCTCGGGATAATACTGCGGCGGCGGCGGGAAAGTCAGTGCGCCATGGGCTTTCGATCCTGGCCGCTGGATCATGAGTCCCTTCCACGAACGCACATTCCCATTCACCATCGTCGTTTGTTGTGATGCCAGGCCCTACAATAGCGTCTGAACTTTCGTTGGATTGATGTGCATGAGAAATCTGGCACGCGGGATGGGAGAAAGTGAAAGGAAGGGTGTGAGACCGTACTGGGCTTGCGCGGAAAGTCCGTGATACTAGAAATGAGTCCTCACATTACTGTAGACAGGCATTCCTTATCCCCTCACGGGGTCCAGCCAATCAGTTATGTGGATTGAGAATCGGAGGGAGTTGGACACCACATATCCGATCCGCCTATCCCTCATCAACCTCAGCGAGTCTTTGCATTACAGCATGATGCTCGAAATGTCAGCCCAATTTTCATTCCATAAAGCTGAGTGTTCCACCATCTGGTCAACACTGCTTTGGAATTTGTGATTTCATATTAACCTTCGCCACGATTGCAATTTTTTTATTTTTATTCTATTTTCTCTTGTCTCTGATCATATGTGCGGGCCATGGAGCTTTGGTGCTCAGCAAACTCCCATAATTTTCATCATGTTTCAGCACTCGAGGAGCATGCCAATGCGTAGGATGGTTTCTGATTGCTGGTCCTTATTTATTTATTCTCTCGTTTCGCAGTTCTGAGCCTCACGGGCTTGTCTCGGAGACCTGGCCCGTATCGGTTCTCTCGGGCCGTGACCTTCCTCATCTAGCTCTCCGGTAGGCTTTCCAAGGAAAGCCAATTAAGCGCTCCCTCCTTCCCGGAACGCCCATTTTCGTGGTGAGTAAGGAATGAGTTACATCTCTTGGTTCGGGATGTACGAGTATGATAGAATATGTGTACAAGTAATCGGTGGGGTAGGTTCCCGGTGAGTAAAATACTAACCTCTTGGGGGGATCAGCGGTGGAGTGGCTTGCATTTTTGCTGGGGCCGATATTAATGTACCGGCAGTGCTTCCCTTCAAGGTGGTTGTTCCTGTTGGATGTGCTCGAGTAGTGTCGGAGCGTTTTTAAAAGGGAACTGCGACTGCATGTCACCCGGATCCAAGCAAAGGCCCAAGTTTCGGTGGTATGCAATAGCAGTCCTTTTTTAAAACGCTTCCACAGTATGAGTACCGGTAGAGTACTCATCACACTCTGTTTGTGGGCATCGTGAATTTTGGCGTATATCAAGGGTTGGAGGATGGTTTGTGGAACGATGGTGTTTGGGCGGCTTGCCGGAATGTTTAATTTGCGGAGGCTAATGATGATGGCACAATCCTGTGAGTATTACCAGAAAACAGTGGCAAGCTACACGCCGTAGCATGGAATACCGATACCCAGCCGTGTGTCCTCCTTTTCAGGCTTCTGCTGAGCCGGACATACTCGTGGGTTGCTGTCGGAGACCCGCGCATCCTGACGATAGGTTCGCCTGTATCGCACAATACAAGCAAGCGAGACCTTCCAATTTGGCTGCATGGACGTCGATATAAGCGTCGGGCCTGGCCACCGTGGTACGGGACTGTTCCCGGTGAATGGATTACCTGCAGACAAAGAGAACACTGTGCGACCGACCGGGCCGTGGGCTTTGAATCGTGGAGGTGCGATGGCAAAGCTCCCTTCCCGTTCCCGGGCTGTCAGGGTGCCCGCTTATCACTAGGGTTCGTATTGGTTTGTATCGTGTATGATACCAGTACTCGCGCAGTATCATATACTGTACTTGTGGGGAAACACCATGGATACGAGTGATTGATGGTTAGCCTTTTTTTCCCTTTTCTTTCCTTTTTCCCCCTTCCTTCCCACATCTCCACAAACGAGGCGAATATATGATTGGCGTTTGTCTTTGTCAGTTTTGTGGAGTAAATTGAATCTCTTGCTTGCTTCTTCTCGGCCAACCGGGTGGTACAGTATGTACGAGTACTATAGTCCTGCACCCTACCCTCCAAAGCATGCATTTCGAAGGGAGAAGAGAAAAAAAAAAAAAAAAAAAGAACTATATAACCGACACAGGTTTCTACATGTCCCACTTTTTTTATTTTTATTTTTTTTCGAACCCCCCTCCCCCCCTTTGTCCTTATCAATAGCCTGTCGAGGAGTTGTTCAGTCATGAAGCTCTGTAATTTGCCGGTGGTAATGCTACACGAGATTCTCGATCATGTATTCCTCTCCCTTCCCGCTCTCTTCCCTGTAACTGACCCGAGAACAGATATCAACACCGATAGACTTCTCGAACCTCGCCCTAACGAGCAAATGGCTTCAACACCTCGCTGCTCCACGACTCTACAGACGCCTGGAGTTCACTCTATCATCTACAACGGAAACGATGAAATTCTGCGAGTGTCTGCTGATGCAGGGCAGAGGACAGGATTGGCGGCACTGGACGCGGAGCGTGCACGTCAGTGATGAGGTGCGCGAGGGGTCCGGTCGGCGGAGGAGTCCTATTTGGAGCGGACTTGCGGGAGTGCTGGATGGGTTAGCTAGCCGCGGGCTGGACGAATTTGAGTAAGTTTTACTCTTCGGTTGAGGAAGGAAAAGTATGGATTGACTTTAGCTAGCTAGATGGGATTCCCGCGATGTGCCGCCCCTGATCGTCGTCGAATCACTATTAGGCTTGCGCTCACTGCGCAGTCTGAAGCTGGAGATGCCTCTTCGTCCGCAAAATCACACCTTCCTGGAGAGGTTGGCCGTGGCCCACGCGGAACATCTACGGTCTATGCATATCTGGGGGATACAAAACGACGGACAGATGAATCGGGTCGGGAAAACGGTGGGTTTCGCTAGGGGATTGAAGGATTTGAGTCTCTGTGTGGCAGCGGATTGTGATTGGGAGGACGATGAGGACGAGGACGAGGAGTATTCTTCTTCCTCCTCCGAAGCCGGCGGGGAGAGGGAGGTGGAACCGGAGGATACGGATAAATGGATGACCCTACCAGCCGGCGTCCATAGTACACTGTCTAGCATAGAGCTAAATGGCTTGTTCAATCTTCGCGATTCGCTCCACTTCTTCAACCCCGCCACCCTCCGGCGTTTAGAGCTTCGCCAATGTACCGGCTACAATTCCCTCCTTCATGCCCTCTCCTCCCACCCTGACATACGAAACATGGAAGAAGTGGTTTTGGGTTCCTGGGAGAATTGCGACATCGCCCGGGTCTCGGAATTTATCTGCTCCTGTCCAAAGCTCAAGATCCTACTCCTATCACTAAGCTCCTACGCGCTCACAAACGATCTAATGCGTAGCGTAATCCCGGCAGTAGAGACCTCGAGAGCAACCCTAGAAGTCCTACTTCTAGACTTCCGCCACCAAAGCAGAATCGGCAGTGCAAGAGACAACAATAGCGGTAGCAACAGCAACAACACCTGCGTGGACAAAACCCTCTACCAGAACCCCCGCTGGCTATCCTCCATCAAGACCTTCCCCCGGATTCGCGAATTAGGCGTGAGCATCGACCTGGCGGACCTGACCTCCCTGCCGGAAATCTCCACGATCCTGCCTCCCGATATACGAGTCCTGGACCTCCGCTTCCCTTGGCAAACTGTTGAACGCGACCGCGGGTTGCGCACCGCGCAGATTCAGTCCCTCGTCGACGCTTCGCCCGACACTTCGCGCCTGAAATTGGTGATCCTAGGCGATGGGGACGATTACGAAGCGTGCACCTCCTACGAGGTTCTCCGCGACGTGGAGACGGGGGGCGCGGCGGTAGTCGCGCCCGCTAACGGGCCGAGGGGTAGTATGGTCGCTGGATGCGATCATAAATTGTACAAGCTTAGAGGGGATTGTTTTTTTATTTAATTCGGTACGGTGGGGGGGGGGGGGCGTGCCGTCCGTCGGGTTCCTCTAGTGGTGAGAGGGCTTGGATAGGGCTTTTTTTTTTCTTTTCTTTTTTCCTTTTTTTTTTTCCTTCCCCCCTTTTCACCCATTCCCACTCTAAATTTTTGTCTGATGAATTAGCGCTCATGGATTATCACTCGGAATCATCAAGTTTTCTTTCTATCCTGCCAAATTTTTTTATTCAAATTTCCCAATTTCTTGTTTTTCACCGGAGGCCGTTTTGTGCACGGGAGGGAGAGAAAGAGAGAGGAAGAGAGGGGAATGGATAAGCCAAACAAATCCACACCCACCATCCCACCACAACAACTCTAACTCTGTGAATCTCGACGTATAACTCGTGTGGAACAATAATCATCAGATGAACCCTCCTCCCCCTTGTGTCATACACATAAAGTCCAGGACCGTGCATACCATACCTTGGCATTCGCAAACTTTTGAGTTATCATACAGCATGACATGATATTATCATTTCCTCTACCCCCTGTCCTCCCCTCCCGAATGTAGTACATGTACGGTGCAAGCACGGTGCTTGTCCGAGTACGGTACCGGTACAAGTACAGTACTGTAGGAACAGGGGTGAGGGGCGTTGACGTCCTGCGGGTATCGTATCGTAACGAATCGTATCGAATCTATTATAACTTAGATCGCATACTGGTACAACCTGGGGGGGACAAGGATTTGCTTTTTGAGCGGACGGGCCGCCTTCCTCATGCTGTTGTACCGGCATGCCATGTTATCCACATATCATACGGCAGTACAGTACCGGCACTCGTAATGCACTCCAATTCGCTGGGATGGGGGAGGGGGGAGGGGGAGCATTTTGCTGTTATTCTTATGGATATCATAACGTGATAGACAAACTTATCATATGACCCGTGTTATGTCAATTCAATTATGCACCAGATATAGTGGGTCATTTCAGCGAGCGTCCTTGTGCCATAGTAGTACGGTAGTTGTTGCTACCGCATTATTAAACCAAGCTAGGCTATGGTATCCATTGAAGCTGATATCTATGTACTGTACGTGCAGATCGGAATCCCCGTTCCCCCTTTTTTGTTTTTTGCCTAGTACTATGGTGTACTATACTCGAGCATTAGGTAGGCAGGACTCCTTGCTTGCTTGCTTGTTTGTTTGTTCCGTTTCAGCATGTCTATGCGTCCATCGATCCATCCGTCTATATAATGGATCCTATCATCATCTTTTCTTCATCGTCATCCCATCTCCGCCAATGTCTTTGACAAAGAAATGAGGAGGGGAGTGAAAAGGTGCAGCAATGTAGGTTGGAGAAAAAGAAAAAAGGGGGGGAGGGGAGGAAGCATTAGCCAATAACTCCAGCAGCGAGAAAGTCCAGCCAAGTAAAGTCGGTCGGTCAAGCAAAGCACAGGAAGAGAGAAAAAAAAGAAGTAAAAAAGAGAGAAAAAGAAAAAGAAACAGTAGAGACAGTACAGTGATCCACCAGATTCATCGCGATTGGATGGATAAAAGCCAGAACCGGGATGGGAAAGCAACCAGAATCTGCATGCGAATGATAATCCCAAGGCTTCGGTTGCAGAAAACGAAGAGCGGGACAGGAAAAGCAAAAAAAAAACGAAAAACTTCACCTGATGGTCTCTGCGCCATCCTTTTCGATTCCTTCAAGACCTTCCAGGATGTCACTTCCCCCGAGGACGCCCCTCCACCCGAGAACCCCACGCCTGGTTTCGCTCCAGACTTCGTGGAATCTGACCGTCTCGTCGCTTGCAGCTACGACGATGCAGCCCTCGACTCTATTTGCGTGCTTGTTTCTCTCGCGCGATCCTCTGGCTTCCCTGCGACGGCGACCGCCACCTCCTGTGATGATGGATCCACTAGCTGCGCTAACATCCTCGAGAATGCTTTCCGTGTCTTCAGATGTGGCAGCAGCTGAAGAGCCGGGTAGAGAGTCGTCATTGGGGCCTCCTGGATAGGCGACGGCATACAGTGCTCTCATATCCTCCTGCCAGGGTATCTGGACCACCTGCCTGCACTCGGGCCAGCTGAAAACCGCAATGCGAATGGGATGCTCAGGATTGGCGTATCCGAGCGTTGCAGCAATCTCGCGGTGGCTGTTAGACCAGAGGAGAGATGTGACTTGTGCAGAGACGTTAATAGTAGCTAATGTTGCCCCGGAAAAGGTGTGGAAGAAATGGATACAGCGATCATTGGAACCACCACCTGTAGGTACTAATTTAGCGGTCGTGATCCGGTATGGGGGGGGAGGGGGGAGTATAGTAGCTAGATCATACCTGTAGCAAGTAAGCTCTTTTGCCATGGGCAAAAGGCAATCGCTTTGACGGCGGCCCCATGGGCCCACCTATGCTTCTCTCCCCCTTCCAGAGGCGTGACTTCATGACCTCTCACACCTCCACTCCGGGTGCGGATTACATCAGCAGTGCCAAAGAGACAAGCCACATTATCATTGCCACCCGTTGCGAACTGTTCTCCGTCCCCGCTCCATGCCAACCCGCAAATCTGCTGAGAGTGAACCACAATCCTCCGGAGAAGGGCGATGGACGCATGAGATGCCGGCGCGGGAAGGCCCTCGCGGAACTTGCCCCACTCAATCGAGTAGTAGTAAACGTTACCAAACTCATCGCCGACTAGCAGCTCTTCGGTCTCAGCCATTGCCGAGGCCGATTGGGAACGACGATCGCTGAAGGAAAAGCCAACTGAAGGTGGTAACCCGAAATCTGGGCGGCAGGAGACGACAGGCTTCCAGGCCAAACAAGCGACACCAGCGTCGTGCGTTCGCTCGAGCCGTGGGGTGGGCTCCGCCGGGTTCCAGAGGCTGAGCGAACCATCGATCCGACCAATCGCTAGGATATTGCGCTTCCCTTGGAAGCAAGAAAAAGCCAGGGCGGTAACGTGAGAGTTCGACCAAGCCTCGAATGGGCGAGCTCCACTCGCCTCTGTCCAACTATATACATCCGTGTGAAGCCCAACAACCAAAGAGTGTGTGGCGGGGGAGTATGCAATGAGCGAACAGTAATAATCATCCCGGAGGCCCGGGGCATCCAGGACCCTGAACGGGGTAGTGGGAATAGCTCTCCTAGGGCATCTGCGAGATGGAGAGACCTGTGGTGCTGAATCACCTGAAGCGGAATGCATTAGAGAGAGGGGGGGGGAGATACTCGAGAAGGGATCATAGCAAAGGGGGACCCACGGCCTTCCGCCTCCAACACATGTCCCCAGAGCATATCACTGATAGTCTCACTTCCAGGGGCACCCATAACCCCTCCCTTCCTCCCATGGCCATCCCTGGTTGGTTCGTTCTCGCGGGCAAAACTCAGCACTTTAGCACTCCTATCCACACCCAGTGCGGCGGAAAGCCTCCTCTCATGCCTTTCCATGTCAACCTCCGGACTTGTTTTATCCCCGAAAACGTTTATGGTCACCTCCCTCCCTCTCGGCCTGGGCTCCTCCCTCCTGGACGCTGCACCAACACCTATGCCAAACACACCAACAGCACCAGCACTAATCCTCCGGTTCAAGTTACCGGGTCGGTAGCTGATTGGCGAGCCATCGATGTTTACATCGTTAGGGCTATTGACCAGACTATTGGGGGAGATGCTACGGTCCACACTACTGCTGCTAATACTCCTTCTTAGAAGTCTCTCGTTATTGGAGAGTAGGTGCGCCGGTGCACTCATTCGAAAGCTCTGTATGTTTGCCCTGTTTGGGATGAAGCGGTCGGGAGAGATTTTGGAGGATTTGGAGGATTGGGACATTGACCGAGTGTGAAACACGCGGGAGAGCCCGAACCTACGGAGGGCCTGCGATGTGGACGGCGATAAGCGGGGACGAACCCGTGGTGGTGGTGCTTCATTGTCCGAGATGAAAGGGTCATGCTCGACTTCTAGCCTCCCAAGTTGTTGGCTTGATGAAAAGGGAGATGGAGATGTTGGAGCAGATGGGTACAGTGGAGGACCGGTATCCGTCGGTGAACGAGTGGCAATGGCCGGGGTAAGTGGTAGAGATGCCATCTCTGGGTGATCGAGGGGTGGAGGGCAAACTCAACTGGAAAAAAAGAAAAAAAAAGGAAAGAAGAGGGAGAAGGTAAGGGAGTATGGGGGATGTAAGAGGGGGCCATCCATGGTAAGAGAGAGGTGAGGGTTTCGAGTGTAGGCAGTGGTGGTGGTGACGAAGTGGGAGGAAGCTTCCTTAGCCGTGGGGTTCGGAGGGTACGCTCTGAACGCTCTATGGCGGTATTATCTCTCTACGGGATGGCGTATGCTCCGAGAACCGTAGCCTTGCACCGCAGTCACTGTAGCTCACTCGCACAACCATAAAAGGTCCATCGCTAATAAGCCAAATCCACCAAACACTCGTTATCATCGAGGAATGATGTGATGCTGCACAAAATATCTCAATTCCCCAGAACCAACGGCTTTCCCGTGATCCCGCTCGCCTGGTATGACCGAAAGCCACGGATGAACTATATCCAAATCTCCAGAACCAACTTTAAAAGTTCCACTACGGATTTCTCGATTCTATTCTAGCGCGCGAGGGGGATTTACTACATCAACACCAGTACCATGAATGCCAAACTCCAACATGCAAAACAAGAGGAAAAATACTCAACGAAAAGACAATCACTCCAGCTCCTCAAAGAATAAAACAGCCCTATCCTCCCCCTCTCCAAATAATGTCACGCACAAATTCTCACTCTCTACTCCACATCTCAACACATCATGCCCCCTCACTCGCAATCCACTCCCAACAATCTAACCACCATCCAACCAAACGAAAGCCCCATGAGCAGTATTGTATAAACCACAACTTTATCCGCGAGATCCTCCTCTTGACCAAAACCCTTCTCTTGAAGCCCCCTCTTGTGACCCGAAAATTTCTTCCAGTACGCCCTCCTCTCAACCACCTGTGTCCTCCTCTTGACAGAGCACCCTCTCAACTCCTCCCCCCTCCCCCTCCGCTTCGATCCTCGGTACAGCACCCGCACCGTTGCCAACTAAAATCCCGGACACCCGTCAGCACTCGCTCTCCAACCCCCTCAAAAGCGAATAGAGTAGAGTAGCTAACCATCCATCCGCTCAGCCATATAGTACTAGTTAGAAGCACCCAACGGGAGCTCTAGAAATGCCACCACGTTGGAAGAGAGAGAGAGAGAGAGAGAATAAGAAAAAGAGCAAGAAGGGATATCTACTACAAAGGGTTAGCTATAAGAATCAACATGTCGGAAGAGTAATATTGCGTGGGTGGCTTATGATAATGAGCACTGATAGCGATGGCGGTTGGAGGAGAGTATGCCGAAGTATTGATGAACATATGTCAGGTTGAGCGCTGAGTGAGCCTTGATAGTAGCTGTGTATTATTGTTGTGTCGTTGGTGCTGGTAGGGTCGAAGGAAGTTTTGATTCTCGTTTCCAGTCCGCATTCGCCTAGTGCACCGCCAATCTAGGATCCAGGTCAGTTACTCCCCATGAACAACCAAGCCCATCGGGAATATACCGCTCACCTCCTCTTCACCGCCAGCGAGCAAATTGCTATCACCTCATCCCGTAGCAATTGTTGCTGTTGCTGCTGCCGAATACCAACTTCCTCCACCTCCTCGACGGAGGTCCAACCCCTATTTATCCTTCTTCCCTCCCCTCCTAAACCGAAGGATTTGACTCTCCCCTCCCCGATCCAACTATACCCCCCCCCATCGCCCCCCACCACCTGTACCAAGACAATACCTAAAATCCCTAATCTTAGGTTCACAATTCACACGTTGCACAATAATTAAAAGCCATATGGAACCTAAATTCTCACGCTCATGGCAAGGCTCCCGGCACCAACATCACTCCTCGCAATGCAACGTGACGCGATGGCGGTGGATCGAGTGAATTCACATGGGCGGTAACACAGGCAGCAGCAGCTGCGAAACCTTAGGTTTGAGTTTATCGGCAGTTCCTGGAAGGCTTGCCAAGACAGCCTACATGGTCTCGCCTTATGATAACTGCAGTATGCCGGCACCGGTAATACAGTATAATACAGCACACCAAACGCCACTTCTCAGGTTCAACCATAGTCTACCGCCAACTACTGTAGGCTTAAATTACTCGTACGATAGCGAAGAGCATTACCGTATATGTCGTGAAAAAGGAAATCCATCACGAGCTTCCACCCCACTCACCAAAGAATTGTTTATTTTTTTTTCGCAATTTCTCGCTGCCGCACCCACGAATTACCGAAAATAGGCAACCCACTGTAAGCAAGAAGGGTAGACTAAATGGCCGCCCTGCAACTCGTCTTGTCTTGTCTTGTCTTGTACCCGCATCGTAAATTAAGGTTCGACCCATCCTATCCCATCCCATCCCACCCTACGGTACTTGTACGAGAAACCCGCGGTGAGCGATATGATACAAAGTATGATATGATAAATTTAGGAGGGAGCGTTCACCTTACTTTCGAACCCCCCGACTTCCAAGAAAGAAGGAAGGGAGAAAAAGAAAAAACCACCTGGAGTCTCATGTCCCGCACTCAATAAACATACACAATATCATACTACTATTCTTCAAGACATCTTTCTTGAGCACAACCTTAACGTGGAAATGTGATACGGTACTGTAGTTACGCGGTAGGCTCCCTCTCCTCCACCCCTACACACATACCTTATGTGTAACCTGGATCATGAATTCATGATGGTAGCACAGTACCGCAGCTCCTGAAAAGAAGTATCCAAAACATCGAAACGGGAACCACGCACGAATGCGAGGAATAATGGTTTCATATAACAGCCAACTCTTACGATACTTACAAGTTACCAATTAAGCTATCAATTTTTCCCCCCTTTACTTTACTTTTCTCACCACTACCTTCTGAAGCTAGTAAGTTAGTTGTGACATGGCATACTAGGTACAGGGGAAAAAAAAAAAACTTGAACTGGAATACGAGTTGTTTTTTTTCCTCCAGCGTTTCCATTACTGCCTTCAAAAGAGAGGAAGGGTGACTGACTGACTGACTGACTGACTGACTACCCCTGCTCTGTGCTGTACTGTACTGTACTGTACTGTACAGTGCCAGTATGATACAGTACCACGGATTCGTGACCAAGTCTTGAATCACACCACCTAACTCACCACCCACCCATACTCGAACTAAGGGTGAAAGGGATATGATATCATATGAAATGATACAATCCAAGATTATTATTCGCATCGAGAATGGTCGGGGATAATCCAACGACACTATCGCACGAAAGTTTTGAAACTCAGCAAACAGCTAACTACTACCCCCTCCCCACATTACCCCCACTTCCCTTCTTTTCTTTTTTTTTTTTTGCGAAAACGGGTGTGGGAGTTGTCCATATCATACCTGTGATAATATTGTATTTTTATCTCTTTTACTCCCGCTTTGGATCGACTTGGCCTACCATGAATGTCGGGGAATATATCTGTCATGAGCTGTTTTTGAAAGTGCTGTAGTGTGACATTATGGTATGGTGCATCTTTATGGGGATGCTGGGTAGGGATTGGGCTACGCTGGGCTTCGTGATGACGATATCATGTGATACTAATATGGAGATTCGCTACTACTCGATGTCTATGATAGCTCCTGCGTCTGCTTTCTCGGGTATAAAACCTTGGGTGGGGTTGTGGGTTGAGGTTTAAGCGTACAATGCTGACCCATGACAAATGTTCGAGAATAGGTGCCGGTATACCCGGATTATGGTTCCCTAGTGGGATATGCTAGTATTCGAGCTTTACGCGTGGAATACATATACTGTACGAGCCATGATAGGTGGGTAGATAATGGACCAGACATCAAGGACAGATGCCCAAGTCGGGTTGATGGGCTTTCGGCCGACTACTGTAGCTGCGTATGATACTATGATACCGTACACGCCATCCATGGATCCGCTCAACCTGCCAAACCAACAGAACCAGAGAAGGAGGGAAAGGAGAAAGAAACAAAAGAAAAGAAACGAATATAAAAATTGCGTCCAGCATGCCCTGAATAAAGTAAAAACAAAATAGGAAACAAGAAAGGACAAAATGAGATAGGTGGGTGAACTTCAAGCCAGCGCGCCAGTAGTAGTAGTAGTAGTAGTAGCAGTAGTGGGAATACCGGTATAAACACATTGACGGCAAGAATAAAAAGTAAGTGAAAAGAAAAAAACACTACAAAAAAGATAAAGCAGCCTAAGAGTGGACATGACATATATAATAAATAAATAAAAGTAAAAGCCGCTCCCCCCGCAATTCGCCCCGCATATATAAAGACTCGCAAACAGGAAAAGTAAAGAAAAGGAGAAGGTCGGTAAAGCGTAGTGCATAGGAGATGGTGAGAGGGAGACAAAGGAGTATGGGTCAAATGGAAACCCCCCGATACTAGTCCATGACAAAGAAGATAAAACAAAGTAAAAGTAAAAAACACCAATCAGAGTAGGCCCTCCTACTCCTCAGCGACACTCGAAACCTCACTCCTCCTCGAGTCGCCCCCCCACCCAACCTGCCCATGTCCCCTATCACTCCCCCCATCTTTAACTGAAGACCGACTCTGCTTCTTCCCAAGCTTCAACATCGAAAACCTCTTCCGGACACTTCCGACTCCCCTCTCCATCGAGTTTACAATCCCACTTCCACTACTTCCTGGTGGACGACCACTGCTAGTACTCGCCCGACTCTTGGTCACTTCTTCGTGGTAATTGTCCACTGACGGAACAGGCGGTGGCGGATGACGCGATTCGGAATCATTGCGACGGCGGCCAAGGGATTTACTTCTTGAGCGGCTGCGGGAGGTGCTTGCTGTTCTGCTAGTGGTTGATACGCTGCCGCTGTGGGAGCGCGAGGAGGAGGATTTAGGTGGCGCGGGGACAGACTGGATTGATGATTCCTCTTTTCGATGATGGCTACGATGACCGTTCGGGGCGGTGGTTGTGGTTGCGGTTGCGGTTGCGGTTATACTGGTTAGGATTCCGTCTTTCGCGTGGTTCGTGTTCGCGCCAAAGATCATGTTTGCTAGGCGGCCGCGGGTGCTGCCGACGACGCTTGCAGCGTCTTCAGCTATCGAAGGAGCTGTACTGGCTACCGTACCGTCGACAAGAGGGGTCGGTCGGGTACCACCCATCAACGGCTTCGGTAACGGGACAGGAGTTGATGGGGAACAGAGCGGGGTTCTCCATTGACCAGGGCTGATAGGGATAGGTGCTGGAACAGTGCTTGGAGCGAGTGCAGCTATCTCAGCAGTATAATTCCTTTCAAATACTATCATGTTATTAGTTTAATATCAACCAACGAAAAGATGAGACATACATTGCATCATATTCTCATGCATAGGCTTCAACGGATTAGCCACCAGTTGGCCGTGAACAGCAAGGCATTTCTTCAGCACCAAGACGTAATCTAGTATCGCCATCCTCAAGGCATTCCTCAGCTCAATTGCAACGTTCTCATCATCATCGATCAGTTCCCTATACCCCCCAACCCCACCGTTGACCGGCGAATCCACAGCTCCGGTAAGGATCATGGTTAGCGAGTTCAAGTTATCTCCACCCCCACCGCCCTTCACATCAGCATATCGCTTCTCAAGCAGCGACAATTCCCTGGTCTTCGAAGTGACCGCTTCAATCGCGTTCTCAACAGGACTAACCGTCGTGGTGGAGACACTCAGAATCTCTGATCTCCGCAGAATAGTTGGGAACCGCTCAGCCGTATTGTAGATTGTCTTCTCGCTCCACCAAGACGAAGGTCGCCCCACATCAGTCCCGGGCAGCGGCCTCGAGCAAGAAAATGACCTCGGCCGTTTCTGTAGCAAAAACTCTCTGGTATTTGGCGGAACCTTGGTTCTCTGAAAAACAGGATTCAAAAGATCATGTTCGGGCCCGACAGCAGTAATGTGGATAAACTGTCCCTCAACGCTATCAACCTCGCCAGAAGCGACAATCTTGGCCGCGGGGTGCTGTTGTTGGATCCTATCCGAAAATTGCACGAGTTTCTCCCAGTGATTGCCCTGAACAATGAACTGACGGTCCCGCAGACCGACGGGGAATCCCATACCTAGGTACGCCACACGGAAGAACTGCGGACTGAGCTTGTCACCGCCGAGAATATCCTCATGAATCTTTGCCATAGCTCGATGACATTTACCCAACTTCGCGTAATCAAATACCACGTTCTCATACTGGTGCGCCAGTTCCTTATACGTATCCAGCGCGTTCTCCCAGCTCTTGCCGTCCTCAAATAATTTTATCATTTCCAGAAATAGCGCCTCCCTCCTCTCGAATGCCGTTTGGCCGGGAAATGGCGGGTCGATTAAGGCTGACACCTTCTCAGTCGTGTCCCATGAATACAGATCCGCGTGAAGTTGTAACGACAGGCCCGCCTCGACGTAATTCTGAGACTTCAGTTGAACACTGACGAGTTGATGGACATAGCGAATAAACATATCTTCCTTTCGCATATCCTTCAGGAATTCCATCAGTCGGAGGGTATCCATAATACGATAAGCTTCTCCCAGCGGCGTATTGTGAACAGCAACCAACAAATCCAGAAACCGATCAATGGTGTGTAACAGGTCGCGAACCTTGACCGTAAGGGGATCATTAGGAATGAGTGATAACGGCTCAAAGAGCTCAATCAAGTCAGCAATAAAGAGTTTCTGGGTAATACTCTCTGTGAGTTTTTTAGACTTAAAAAGTCGATCCAGACTCTACAATGATCCGTTAGCACCGGCACCGCCTGATAGAATCGAAGAAAAAAAGAAGAAAACGCATACATCAATCATTTCCGCTTGGATAACACTCAAGTCCTGACTCAACGTCCACTCGCTCACCACCATCGTTTGCAGCACTTCCACCGCTACACTTCTCAGCCCCTCGTGCACGCTCAAGCAGAGCTCAACAATAGGCGCCACCAACCCAGGCACATATTGCACTTGATACCCACCCATCTTCTCAACCCCAAACCTCCTCTTGTCCTCACTGCCCGTCTCCCAGCCAATGGCCTCCCATGTTCTTCTTAGTAAATCCGCACCTTGCTCTCTGACATCCCCAGCAACCTTCCACACTGCCCGCCTCTTCTGCTCCGGGAAGGTTTCCAGCGCCAGAGCATCCGACCCAACAAGCATTAGCAAGGTCGTGAAGAAAGTTTGCCAAAGCTCCGTATTGAACTTCTCCGCATCATCCGGGTCTGGTAGGAATGAATCAACCAGAATTCCTGCCAATGTCTCCAACGTCCGCATTGTCGACTTGTGCTGGTAGATATGCACACTCAGCCAGGACTCTGGGAAAGCATCGCACGAGAGAATACTCATATGGACTTGTAGGTCGTCCATTAAAAACTTGGCCAAGTCCTCCTCGCCAAGATCCAGATGTAGCCCGGTGGGAATGCTTGATACGGCAGCCAAGATAGCAGCGAGTTCTATCAGCGCCTCGTCGAATACTGGTCGGTCGGGGATATTTTTGGTGGGGAAAGGATAGGTACGGGGGAATAGTAACGAAAAGGTCTCCCTTTCGTGTCTGCCGGTAGCCTGAATTGCCCGATACGAATCAATAATTTTGGGAATATACTCTGATACCTCCTCCCCAAGCTCTTCAACCTGAGCCGCAAGAACGCTGCAGCAAAGCCGAACCTGCTCCCTCCATTGCCCAGTTACATCATCAGTCTTCCCCCAATGTGGGGCTAACCATCGCACGGTGTTAAGCGTCAAAGCCCGCCGGTCCTCGGGCTGAGAAAACAGCGAACTCCGCGAGTAGTTGATGATCAAGACCAACTTGTAGAGAATCAGCTTCCCCTTAACACCCGAGCAAGCATCCATAAAGTCAATAGCAACCAATAATATCTGCTCCCGACTAACCAACCCAGCCATCTCCGGCAACCAAGTATGAAAATGCTGCACGGCAAGCGTCTGACTGCCTACCAGCATAGGAGCGCCATTCCGCATGAGCTTCTCCAGCAGCTTGAATATAACCTGAAGATCCTTCGTGAATGTCTGATTCCCGCCGCTGCCGCCGTTTAGCCCGATAGTGGCCTCCTTCACAATCTGCTGCTCCCTTGCCTTAGCGATAAACTGGAAAATATGTCGCCCAACCTTAAACGTAGACCGCAGCCTTCTCGAGCTCTCGGGGTTAGTCGGATCCTGCAATAACCGAGTGAAAGACCGTAACAGACACGAAGCAGCGAAGGGATAATCAAAATGCTTCTCAGCATAAACATCCACAATGGGCTCCAAATGGAATCTCCGATCATAGACGATCCCAAGAACCGTGACGAGTGCGATAAAAACCAGGTCCTCCATCTCCATTTTTTTGGCATACTCGACCAATATCCCGAATAGTGCATCGAAAACCTCCCGGAGCAGTTTAACGACCTCCATCTCGGGAACGAATACAACCTTCTTTAGCAATGCGATCAACTCGGACTCTTTCATATTCTTCCATCGCAACAGTGATAGCAAAACATCGTTCTGGGAAAACTTTGTACTGCATAGGTAGGTTTTGACCTTTACCATGGCAGTCGCGCCTCCCACCGGCATCGCCGTTACCCATCCTTCATCCCCCGGCCTCCAAGGTTGATTCAAATATCCATTACCATTCCCTGAATCTGTTGATATGGGCGAAGAGGTCCATTCATCATACTTGTGCAACAACAGTGAGTAATCTCCATCCCTCAAGAAGGCCCCCCTATCCCACAGCGGTAACCACGCCAGGGCGGTAGGTGTATGCGGGACACTCGAGAGAACCATGAACAAATGAGCACTGGGAACGTCCTCCTCATCCAAAGCGAGCCTAATAGTTTGATTCCACGATTCGTCCCTGGCCACAACAACGGATTTCCAAACGGTCACTCCTGGGGTGTTCGAAGCTGAAAATATACAATCCTTAATCCTCTCCCCGTTCGGCCTCCGGACTTCGAGCGATATCTGGAGAGAATCAAAACGCGATGGCGCCGGGAGTGCACAGGAACCCAACTTCGGATGAAGCAATAATGCCTGCCTGGGCAAGATCGGATTCCCAAGAGTAACGTATATATCAGACCTAGGCTTTGTTGGCGCTCCGGAAAACCCAATCTTCTGCGCACAACTGATATTGTGCAGCAAAGTAGGCGTAGCCTTGATCAGTGAGTCCGCATCAGGAGATGTAAATGGACGGAGATAGAGATGAAGGCGATCCGCCTTTGGTGACTTCTCACTATGCAATCGCATATCAGCAGGCTGGTCATCACTAAAGGACTCCCCCCCCAGCATCTCGGGAACCGACAATTTCCCCGTTCGGGACTCAATGATATCCCTGATCAGCCTGTCCCAATCCTCGCCGTCTCCGGGCCTCCCGCCACTCTTTTCCCCGGGCGAGCCACCAGAGCCCTTCTCCACGCCACCAGCTGCCGACCCCATCCCAGCGGGAGAAAATATCCTCATAATCTGCTCGATGGCTTGGTCCTGCCTTACAAACCTCCCGACATCGAGAACCCCCACTCCTAGCGCTCTCTGGAACGTCACTCGTTGGGGCACCTGTTGTGCATCGCGCGTCGCGGCAATCGGTGAGTTCGGCAGCAGAGGGGCAGGATGGGGGGGGATATTCTCATCGTTCGCGCGCAATTCGGTCGGCGAGCCCTCGTTCCCCGAGGTTTTCGGCCTTGGACTAAACAATACACTCACCCTTCCTTTGATCTTCTGTTCGCCTTTACCTGGCGACGTAGCTCCGTTCATGGCTGAATGCTTGACAGTTCCAAACGTGGTTTCCGAAGGCGCAGCATGGTGGCCCTTGCCAGATGAGGCAACTGGGCCGGGAACAACCGACATGTTGGAATAAACTCTAGCAATCAAAAACATGTCTTCCATAGCATCCCTCGAAGAGAGGTCGGTGAAGAGCGTCTGCATCTTGCCCAAATTCTTTGAATCCACCGGTGTCCCATGCGCGTTGAGAGATACAGTGAATGACTCCGAAATGGGTATATTCTGCTTGGTGGCCAGGTAAAATACGAGGGTTACCGGCTCATTCGCCGCCCCTACAAAAGCCTTGTGCTCCATCAACAAGTGATGCAATGTTATCCCATCCTGAGAAGGGGTGAGCGGGTATTCTAACAACGACATCTGCGACTGCAAGGTAGTGATATCAACACTGGAGTCATCTCCCGTCAGTATTCTCCCAGAGCTAGGGTCCCGGACAATAATCTCCCGAGAGAGCAGCTTATTCCCCCTGACGAGCGCCCAAACCGTCCTCTCCCTGGTGGCCACCAGCTCTGCCTTTGTCAGCACACTGTGTAGCAACTGCCGTCGGGACAGGTCGAGCTGGTGCACAAGGGAAGACATGTCGTCAAGAAGTGGATACTCGCAATTTAGCAGCAATTCGTGGAGATTGGCCGCATGCCACTCCCTGAGGCAGGAAGCGATCTCATCCACCAACGGTTCCGATTCGAACGAAGAGGTCTCGTCGCCAACCTTCAACATGGGAACTGGGGCGGCCGGTCGCGGGCGATTACGACCAGCCTCGCCGGGGTGCCCGGGCGGAGGCGTGATCACTGAACGACGATTCCTCCTTGACCGCGAGGACTTTGTCCGAGCGACCCGATTACTACTACCGTTACCGTTGGACTTTGGCCGACGTCCATTTGAATCGGCGCTGTACCGAGCATGACCGTTCGCGCCATTCGAGTCCCGATGCTGAGATAAACGACGATTCCCATTGACCATCACGCTATCCCGCGGACTAGATACCTCATTGCCGTCGTAATCGTAGTCTCTACCCTCCACGGAATCCTCGGGTAGGAGCGGCACCTCTGTAGTCAAGTACTCCTTGATGTCGACGCACGCGGCTGGAAAGATTCCCGAAAACACACGAGCCTCGAGAGTAGCTCCCTTAGTACTGGTCAGACCGGCCAGCAGCGATGGAGGCGCAACAAGGTATCCACGAAACCATTGACCATCATTGCAAGATTCGATAATGTAAAGCTCGTCGCCAAGTTCCAGGGGGAGGTCATCCCGAGATGTAGGGTTGAAGGGGTGCGTTGCTATTGCGAAAGCTATGCGAGCTAGGGGAATCCAAGGCATTGGTACGGACAAATGACGACGAACTAATGAACGAAGGAATAATCCGTAAGAGTTTGACGGGTTTACGACAATTGATTTTTGATGGATAGAATTTCCCCAGCAGGTCAATTGGGGGGCCGAAGCTGACGCGCGATGAGGGGCGAGAGAGTGTGAGAAGAGAAGAAAGGAAAAAAAAGGGCACCCGCAGTAGGCGTCACTGCCGGGATGGGTCGAAAAGACTGTGATAACTGCACAGACGGATCGTTATTATCGAGCAAAGGGGGGGGGGGGGAAGAAGGTTTCGAATGGAAGCAGGACGAAGTTGAGGAAGAAAAAGGAAACAGCCCCCCCGGAGTGAGCACGATATCAAGAGCACGATAGTAGCAACAGTAGCACAATACCGTGAGGATAAAAGGAATGACTCTGCCCACAGCGAAGGAGCGGGAGAAAAATCCCTGTGATGTAGGTTGAAGAGAGGGAGAAAAGGAAAAGAAAGGGAGAATCCAAGGTGAAAACTCGGTCTGAAAGGGAGAGTAGTGAAGCTGAAGAAGGGGGGTTGCAGAGAGAGCGAGCGGGTGACAGGGAGGAAAGAAAGATCTTCAGGTTACAGGCATATCATACCTTTCAATTGCACGACTCCTGAGAGGGCAAAACCACAATGTAATGATTGGAACTGATTGGATCGTGTGTGTATGTGTGTTCATATGTATGTATGTATGTATGGAAGAGAAGGAAAAGCAAGATATCATGGAGGTATGGTAGAGTTACAGCACTCCAGCAGTATGCCGGCAACAAGTTGTCCCCCTCCGGACCTGATCTGTGCTTCGTTTCTCTCCTGTCCCTTACTTTTTTCCTTTTTCCTTCTTTCTCTCTACCCCTTTGGTGATGCTCAGTTTGACAAAGAGGCTGACAGGTCCGCTGGGTCGTCCCGAAAGTCTTGTCGAAAGGGAAAGGGAAAGGGAACTGTCTCTTTCTTTCTCTCCCTCTCCCTCCCTCCCACAAAAAAGCAATCAGAACAAGGTGCCAGTGCCAGAATGCCCCCATAATATCTCACCTCTAGACCCCTGGAGCACTGTGCAGTACCGGTAAAATGACAAAGCTACCATGCCTAAGCTCGAGTACTTGTACGAGTACTCTACCAACCCAGTATTTTACCGGCACTCGAGTACGGCTCTCGTACTGCAACCAACATCTCTCCCCCCGATCGGCACGAACCAGCCCACAAAAAAACCCCTGAACTGCCACAACAAGCAGCCGAATGACCGAAAAGAGACAAGAAGCCACCTCAATCTGCTAAGCAAGTGAGAGAATAAGAAATAAAAAATAACAAATCAACAGCCTCAAAGGGCGACCTTACCATACCATAAATCATCTAACGCTCCAACAATCCTTACGGACAGCAAGATGCCCATGCTCCGCCAATCTTGACCCCGGGAATTACCCGCACTGTAGAAGTCCCGTATTGCCCATCCACCCTCACCCAATCCTCCAAACTACTAGAGACTCTCCCCCCGTCGGTTGCCAAACAAGGCCAAAGCGCAAAGGCGGGATGGTGGATGAGATATTTCCCTTTCGGCACAAGTTTCACGGTTGCCGAACCGAGCCAATTAGGAAGGCGCACTGTCAAATTTTTTTGATCCACCCAACAGGGCGGTAGTTGGGAAAAGGGCGAGGAATAGAGCAGAACAAAATACCGTACCGTATCAGACAACAATTAAGGAACCCAGCTTATCCCTGACCTGACCGGACCGGGGCGGACCTGAACGTTGCTACGAGTACAGTATGCGGCGCGATGATGGTGGTGGTGATTGATGGCGGTGATGATGTTTGGTGAGCGGGTGTGCGAATGAAATGAAAAACACGCTGGGTATTGGAAGCCGATAGCCGGGACGGTACACAGTACTCGAGGACCGGCACCAGTACTCGTATTGCATTCGGATTTCGACATCATGCTTGCATCTCATATCATAAACTCTACGCCAGGCACGATACCCAGCACTGCAAGTCAATGCATGATCTCGATTCTGCCGTCCAAGATGGTACTGTGCCAGTCCTGTGCCGTACTCGAGTACCGTATCGCTATTCCAGGGCAAGGTGGTTGCCTCCCCCCCTAATTACCATACCCGATCATCAATCAATCAATCAATCCCCATGCCGCCCCTCCACACGCCTTCGTCCGTGATACCATACCTGTAAGCCCAATACCGTTACTCGAGTAACTTACCACCACAGTTCAACAAATCACAGTCGGGCCCGTATCCCATACCGATAAATCCCCCAAGCTACCTGTGTCGCACGGCACCGGCAGTCCGCCAATACAGTTCCGCACATGCCACCCTCCCCCGCCAACGGCCGGGCCTCGAGTTGACTTGGCTCAACCCAGCGATGTTACCGGTGCTCGAGTACGGTGTATCACGCAAAGGGCACCCTTGGCAGCACCCCTTCACCAACAATCACCCAATCTCACCCCTCCAAGCCTCTCAGCCCCGTAGAGTTGAGTGCGGTGCACAAGGACAGAACGGTAGGCGAGCTACGGTTGGCCTGCTGGTATGATACAGAAACCTCAGTACGGTACCTGCCGCACAGTAAGCCCATCGATGGTACAGGTACAGAGAGCAGAATAGCCGGTAGCTCCAGCCCAACACCCCAACTTGACCCATCCATCGCTTACTCCTCCCCCCACCCCCGGGGGAAAAGTCTTGTGATGATCACATCCACCCGTTTCGGCACCTGAGCTCGCACAAGTACTCTACTCGAGTACATCCTTACCGGCAGAGTGAGTCGAGTTCCGGAACGCGAGGTGGTTTTGTGGGTTTCATGTTGTTGTTTGCTTTTTCTGTTCTGGTGGCGTGTTTGCTTTTTCTGGTTGGCACGCGGGTGCGATACGGTAGGATATGATGGGGCCAACGGCCAAAGGCTGGGTTCACGCAGACATCGATTGTCACTCGGTCGGAAGTTTGAAGCTTAGTCTATCGGTGTATGGCTGTGGGGTACCGTACGGCAGCCTCCCTGCGAAGGAGTGAATTAGGTGACGAGGGGGACTATCCGAGCATGGACTTCAATACTAGCCATCCAAAAAGTGCTAATTAGCCGGAGTTTCTCTTCTTTTTTTTTTTGCTCTTTCGAAAGATCTTAAGAGCAAAAAAAGTGATCAAACTAGGGTTTGGGCAAGCGGGTTCAACGATCTCTCCGATTTCTCCAGGATACAGTATACTATATCCGAAGTGTCCAACTATTCACATACCACCGCTCCGGGCATCCGAACCATGCCTCCACGAGTGCTACCAATCCTGCAGGCGGGCCGATAAAGGCATCCAGTCGATAAACAGGGTCCCTACGGATGTTTCCCTGATACAGATCCACTGTACTCGTATTAAGCAGTGGGAGGTCAGGTGCTGCATGGGTACCCCGGAAATGGCAGATGCGGTGTTCATCCAATCGGGTCGCCCAAAGACGGCGCGAACCTATTTAAACGGCATAATAATTAATACGAATCAGCCCCTCTGCCTGCCTGTCGGATTGATGGGTAGTGAGTGATGTAATACCGGCACCCGGAACTAACCCAACGGGGCCACGCAACCAAATTATCACAAGCTAGACATAACCGGACGCCTTCCGACTGGGGAGGTGTGATCCGGGAGAGGGGAGCCGGTATTGAGCTACACGCAGTTCATAAACTACTGCGATGCCCTTCACTAGAGGATCATCTCTCTTGAATGTCATTGCAACTCGCTCGCTCACGGAAGACTTCATGATCCGGCGAGCTTGGGGAAAGAAGTGGGAAAAGAAAAAGAAAAGAACAATCGCAACTATATACCTAGGATATCTCGAGACATGCATGCAAAAAGGGCAGACTGAATAAATTCAGTTTTTATCAAGATGGCTCCAGGCTTGATATTTCTACGATGTCACATTATAGTATGGAAGGTGTTCAAGGGTTGGCATCCTTCGGGGGGATTTACAGCACGTGATTGTTACTTCTCAACTTGAAGCTCACCTCGCCCGTGAGGGCTTTCACATGGCGCGGTATGAGAGAGTGTGGAAGCGTATCATATGTACCAGAGGGTGAATATTTAAACTTACCTTATGTTTAGATATCCGAGAGGGCTGCTGTTGTTTCTATATCTGTCGTGCTACGATTTATCAATTGTTTGTCGGCATTCCTGGTGGCATACGGAGGGATGTGTCGTGAGGGGAGAGCAAGCAAGCCTCCATCCGGCCGCGTGTCTTTTCGTCCCCTGATCGCTGCTGAATATTTCTTCATTTTTTCTTCTTCTTCCAGTCTAGTAGTAGTCTTGTCCTTACTCTTGAGTACGTGCGTTCACTATTCCCCAAAACCCCACGTCGCCGTCGTGTTCTCACTCTGAGTGGGATACCGGTACATGTGTGACAGCGTGGGTTGGAAACTGCTATGCCTGAGGAGGAGTGCCAGAGTTTTTTTGGCGGGGGTAATGGATTGGGTACCACTACTATTCGAGCATATCATAATATATGAATCTCGAAAATGTCGTAAAACGGTCGCCGTTGAGATTTGTTACCTCGCATGACAGAACAGGGTTCAGCATCCCTGATACGATTAAACTATCATATCAAGGAGCAAGCGCCCTGGGAAAGACCGTGCCTCTATCCAATCTATCACTGTATATAATAGTGCTGCAATACAACCCTTTCCTCAACTAAGTAACCGTGAGGCAGAAATAAGTATTATACCAGATATTTAAGCTAGTCTTGGAGTGATAACGATAGCATGAGAAAACCTTGGCCTCAGAGTAATTAATACATCTATCATAAACCTGGATAGATCTATATGATATATCCTTTGCCGATTCTTCCCGTACACCATAGCCATTTCTGTTACTGTAGGTGGAAGAAATCTTCAAATACTGTACCATACATTTTACCTCCATATCTGCCTTTTCCGGAGTTCTGTTCGTTCGTTCATGCACTAGTCGCCAAGCTGAGGATCACATCTATTATGGTACTACTCGTATATCATCTAGTACTACTCCTCTGCCTACCGTCAGGGTGCTAGGACAAAGTGTTAAAACCACCATGGGGGAGAGGTGTGTGACAATAACTATCATACCATTGAATCGACGAAGTTTCATATCACACCAAGCGAGCGTTAAACAACCGTGATTCCATCTCAAATCATGATCCATGACTCGAAATTACATTCCCCCCCCTTTTTCCCCCTGAAATCGAGATTTGGAATCACACTTTGTCAAACGTCGCTTCGATCTATTTTTGTTTCACTATAATATTGTAATAATAGGAAAAAAAAATGAAAATAGTTTGCATAGCTTTGCGTTTTAGCCCAGACTTGAAACCTCATCGGTCCCCTAATTTGCAAGGGAGAGAGGGAGAAAAAAAATTGGTAATTGTGTTAAATGCCCTCAACGGAGGATATCGAATGTGATGCCAGATGAAGTCGTTTTCAAATCACTATTGGAAGTCATACTTCCAGACAGTCCCTATGTATTCTCCTTTCCGGATCAAGGCATCACGATGCGGTGCTGGTTGTAGGTAGGTAGGTAGGTATGATAGGTGGAATTGACAAGCACCTGGATGGAACCCATTACCAATATCTGAGATCCCTACAAAGCCACACACCATTGGAAGGAAGCAGTGGTTAGCCATGCCACGGCGTTATCCTTCGCCTCGTGCGAGGGTGGGGTAGAAGGAAGGAAGGAAGGAAGCTCCTTGGTATGATATAATAGGGCGAGTATTTCATCCTACTATAGCATCCCCGCTGTATCAGATGTGATGTGAAAACCGAGCCAAGGAATCAAGCTACCATCACCTATGCTGATAGCATCCACGACCGTAGAAGAACTATCGTAAAAGATCTAATCTGAAAAGCATTAGTTAACCGGCCTTGCCGGATAGGTCTCCGTGAAGAAACTAGGACCGTTCTCACCATAAGGCAACCAAACCTGGCTCTAGGAAACCCGTGCAATAGCGATATCTGCAATGGTAGGGTATGATAGTAAAGTGTTTATAATAGGATGATAAGAAAAAAAAGAAGTTTCAAGGCGTTCGGCTGTTGGTAACCCATATCACAAGAAGTCACTCGACTTCACGTACTCTCTTGTCTGCTACTACTTCTCCTGTCGTTATGAACGACTTGGGCGCGTATGAGTGAGGAGGCTGCATTAGCCGGATTCCGAGCAAGCTAGCGCTGGGGAGTAATGAATTCATTCTCGGGAGCACATGGTGTAACTGGGGTCACATCTATCACTTGATAAATAGTCCGATGCTGTCCTACGATTGACATAATCGGGCTGAGGTATTGCAGGGTGGCATTCCCACCATGCTTACCCACTTACATACGGTACCCTAACTGACGAATGCCGGTGATCCTCTCTAGCGATGGTGTGATATCTCATTAGATTTTAATTTAATGAACTGGTAACTTGGTCCTTGGCATCTCGCCTGTCTCGGGGCATCCCGTTACGGAACCCACGCTCCGTTAAACATACAGAGTACACGACCGTCACAACCGCTCATGCAAGTAATACTTGTACTGTAACTTATACCTTTGCGAATGCCTACCCTATCATTTCGATAATTTATATACAGTACAAGCCCCGCCTATGCATACCAATCCGTGCAGTTGGTCAATCAGTCAGTCAAAACCCAAATGGAACCGTGCTATACAAGAGTGAATAAAGAGAAGGAAATGAAAACCTGCTACTAATACACCAAAGAAGAGGGATGGAAATATTAAGGAAGCGTAGCGCATCGCAGTGACCGGGAAGTGATGGGCGGGCGAATGAGTGAATGAAAAGATTAGGGGTTCCCAGATCCGGTTTATCAAGGGATAAAATGTTCATACGGGGGGTGGTGCGGATGGCTGGGATAGGTGGGGATGCATGGATGTGAGGGGCTAACGTCTCTTCTTCTTTCTCCCAACCTTCTTCTTGCCTTCCTGTCCGCCGCCGCCGCCGCCGCCACCTCCGTCTTCCGTCTCCTTCTCTGTGCCTTCGCCGGCCATGCTTTCTTCCTCTGCTCCGGCGACGGTACTACCCTCACCTTCCTCACCTTCCTCTGCTACCGTTCCCGCTGTCCTCTCCCTCTCGCGCTCCCTCTCACTTCCTGCGCCGCCAGCGCTGCCACCGCCGGCACCGCCTAACTTCCTCGCAGGACCAAAGCTAGCACCAAGGGCCTTCTTCATTCCCGCTTCCTCGGCGGTGCGAAAGTTATCAACCATCCCCTCCACGTCCCGGGCCATCATAACAGTCTCTTTCGCAATCTCGCTGGAGGACTTATTGTACATCATCGCGTTGGCGAACATTCTGAAGAGCTCTTTTTCTAGCTGGACTGAGTTTACTATACCCTTTGGAGGGGTGTTTAGGCTTGTTGCAAGGAGAGTTGTGAAGGATGAGGTGTTTGCCGGCGGGGTTGAGGCGGCTATGGATTCGGTTGTTGGGGTGGTGATGGCTGGGGTGCCGGTTGAAGCGTTGGTTACGGCTGCTGCACCCGCCTTGACTGCGGCTTTAATGGCTGAGAACTTGTTAGCCTTTGAATCCTTGATGTGTAGGAGAAGGGAGGGGATTACATTTGAGATCTTCGGGCTTGTAGACTAGGTTGCGATACCCGGGCGCCATCCGTTCATTTACGGGGTTCGTGAATAGGTTGGCGAATTTGTGGCTGCTGATATCGCCTAGAAGTGGAGCGCTGAGTTGGAGAAACTTTTTTGTAGCCACGACCATCTGCTGCTGCCCGATTGCCAGACCCGTTGGAAGAGGTGATCCAATGCCCGTGGTAATGCTAGAACTTTGAGGTTCGAGCTTTGGAGGCCTGTGGAATGGCTTCCTTAGGGAGACTGTAGTAGTTTCACCCTTGCTCTCTTCCTCCGCATCTGATTGCGATGGGTTGCGCTTACGTTTCGGAGTTTTGCTTCTTGGAGTTTGGGCAATGGTGTCTTCGCGCTCAGCTGCTTCTGTGTCTGCCTTGCGACCGCTTGCGGGTGCCTTTCTCGTTGTTCTTCCGTTTCCGGTTTTCTTTCCTTCAACCTCCTTACCCTTGCGTACAAGTGCGGGTGAAGCCATTATCGCATCGTCGTTATCGATCTCAGAAAGTTCTTCGTCCTTAACTTCACTCCCTTCTGAGATTGGTGAAACGGCCGTTTTTGCTGCCTTCTGTTTGTTCGTAGGAGGGGGTTCGGCGCTAGGGCTTCTCGATGCCCTCCTCTCCGCTTCCGCACTCGCACTCCTGGTAACCCTGGATGGAGGAGGCTCGGTGCTGGAGGTTCTCACCACACTTATACGGCCAAGAGGCTTTCCAATAGCTTTCTTATCGGCCTTTGATTTCTGCCTCTTGGAAGGTGGTTTGCCGTCAGGCGATTTCTCCGTAGATCCCCCATCCTTGTTTTTTGGGCTGATCTCTCCGGATTTGCTTTCGCTAAATAACCGTTTCTTATTACGTATTTTCTCAATAACGGTTGGCTTTGGTGATAAAACTCTGGGTGAGCCTCCGGGCGTACTTATTGGTGAAATATCATCGGGTCCTGGCTGGATGGGTGAACCGGGAGTCGCCATTTCTTCTTCTTCATTGGCCATTGGTTGAATAGGGATTGATGGCGCATGAACTGGAGTCCCGGTATTGATCGGTGGGGGAGGAGCTTTCCTGGGTGAGACATAAGATGTCGGTGGGAGAGGCGAAGGCCGAGGTGCAATCTTTTGAGAAACGGGCGATACCCGAGGGACTGGTGATGCTTGGGCCGATTGGCGTGGCTGCTGGGCGGCCGCGGCAGGAGTGGGAGTATATTGCTGGAAGGTGGTCACTGGAGCGGCGGCGATTGGCCTGGGCTGGGTCTGTGAGTACTGCTGCTGGATGGGAACCGGGGTGCTGGGGGTTTGAGGAGGATATAGGATTCCATAACCTCCTCCCGAAGGAAGCGCCGGCCCGGCACTTGCGGGAGCCCTATCATACACAGGAGTACAGGTAACAGGCTGAATGCGGTCAGGCAAACCTAGGGGAGGATATTGCTGATATGAAGGACGTGATGGTGGGGGATGTTTTTGTTTTCGTCGTGAATCCGCTACGTCTGCCAACTGATGTAAACCGGCCAGACCCGGTGGTGATCCTTGCGCTTGTTGCCCAGCCATTTGCACTGGTTGTGCGGGAACCGGTGTAACTGGCCAAACCGACTGTCCGGGGGTTCTGGGTGTGATCGGTGGGTAGGTTAACCTAGCAGGGGGTGGGACTGGGACCGGTGCCTCGATTTTTGCCTGAGGCCTAGCTGGGGGAGGAGCGCCGGGCAGCGATGTATTCGGATGTGGAGGAGGGGGCACGGCCTCCATCTTAGGAGGAATTGGCATTGGCCCAGGTAAGATCTTGGGGGTAGATGTCCGTCCGGAGGAAGGTGAGATGCTGTTGTGCGCATGGGGTTTTTTGGGGGAAAATGATGGCTGATGGCCTAGGACCTCGCCCGCCCCAACCACTGGAGCTGGTTGCATGTGGTCGTAGCGCACCTGCGATGTCGGACAAGGGACCTGTGCTTGGCTGAGTTGCGGAAGGAGGGGCAATGGTTGTGGGGTTCCAACATTCGGCAGGACAGGAGGCGTTGATTTCTCGGGCTTCGTGGAGGGTATGGTAGGATTCAGTATGGGCGGCAGGGTGGGCGCAGCAATAGGGAGTAAAGGTGGCTTAGTGGGTAGAGGTGCCATCTCTCCGGACCCTGTAGCTGCTGAGGACCCTTCGATCATACTGTCAACTGGAGTGATCCGTCTATCGGATGGTGGGGAAGAGACTTTGTCGCGAAAGTCAAACGACATCCTCGACTTACTCCTGTCTCTTGTTCTGGCTTGCTCCTCCTTCGCCAGGCGTTCGTCCCATATCCCCTCATTGATTTGGTCAATTTCGTTGTTAAGGTGCTGGTATCTCTCCTCCAATTCCTGAATCTGGCGAAGGGAAACTTTCCGGTACCGTTCGTAAAGTCGCGAAGTGAGAACCTTGACCAGTCTCAATTTGTCTGCTTCGGAAAGCGCTGTCGTGCCAATTTCAGTTTTTGATTTTCGTGGGATTGTCTGAGAGCCCGGTTTACCATCGCCATTGAAATTCTTATCACCGAGCGCAAATTCGGATTCCGCCTCCGCCAAGCGAACATGATAAAATTCGCGAAGTGCATCCGGTGATAGCCTTCCTCGGTCGAAAGTAGCTTCGGCTTTGATGACTGGGTTCTTCAGTATAAGCTGGGATATGAGAGCAAAAGATGATGGATGAGTGCCGTGTGTTGAGAGGTAGTGAAAGAGGAGGAGGGACTCCAAAGGAGTGTAGGCGGTGTTCTGAGAAGGAGAGTTCATACGAGCGAGATTTCCTGGAGGTTTGCCGGTCGTAAGCGACCAGCAAAGAGAAGGGGGAGGAATCCGAGTTTGTGGTCAATAACTGACAGGTCCGGTATGGAGGTCGGGCGAAAGAATGTGGTGATGTCGGACCTTGGACTAGGAATTGACGCGTTTGTGGTGGTTGATGTTGGGGGGGCTATCCGTGCGACACGGGCTGAGCGATGAGGAGCTTTAATCTACTCGTAAGTTGATCTGAATCGTGAAGGTGGCTTTTGCTGACTAAATTAACTTGATGAGACAAAGACATCAATTATGTGGCTGTCAGATGGTGGCGCAGCGAATGCAGTGGCGGTTTGTTTTTGTTGTGTGTTTGACAATGTTATAAAGTGTTGGGACACCTTGGCATTCGTTGGTATATCTCTTGGATAATATGTCCGGATACTTTATGGGTTGGCTGGTACCGGTAACTTATGATACCTACCAGTTGGCTCTCCCCCCCGGACGTCCACAAAGCTATCTTCCAGCCCTCCTCTGAGGGATAAAAAGGAAGCTATAATGTCTTACGACGGGTTTTACGACTTGAGTGGATTTTGCTGTTGGGCCATTGACGAACTTACAATACCTGGTGCTCTGATGGCTATTGAGATATCTACCATATAGTGCCAAACGGGAGGGGGGTTCTCAAGGGCATTCGGCTATCTCTAGGCTTTACGTGAGAACCCTTCAAGTCAGAACTCGGGGCGGGGGCCGGGGGAAAGTATTGGGACTATCCATTGCCTGAGCGTATGATAATAGCTATATTTGGGGAACGAGGACCAATTTGGGCATTTTACAGAGGTTTCCGGATTCAGTTCCTAAGAGTTCAACCACAATCTTGTAATGATGGATACCTTCCGTGGGGGGTTTGCGTGGTTCCCCCACTGATGGGCAGTACTATAGTTCCCTGGTGCTGTGCCCACCACCGCTCGCCCGCCTGGGCACTTCCCTTGGATGTCGTGGTGTGATAACATAATACTCTTAGCCCAAGATTGTTTAATGTTGTGCATGGGTGATGATTACTGGGTTAATAATCTACCTGTCATTGGGAAAACCTCATGTAGTATTGCGTATGGTGGCACGGCGCAGGGTATGTTCTAGAGAGCTCATTTTAGATTTCTTAGTCTCTTCTCTATGCTTTCTGTAAGATCCTATTCCTCTTCCCTTCTTTGTTACTGCGGCTTTGCATGTCAGTGGAGAGAGTAAATTGGGATCATGGGGGATTCCCTACCCAGGATTTGATAAGATTTGTTGTATTCAATCTGGTATTGGTAGTGTTATCAGTAGGAGGAATCCGTCACACCCGGCTTTACCATGAAATGCACTGTATTATGTGGGAGGGGGATTACCTAGGAAGGATAACCTTAGTTCTTAATATGCATGTTTGTGTAGTGAGAGGGGGATAGTGTCGTCCTCTAATCAATACTTAAAATAATAGAAAAACCACAGAAGCTATTGATAATAGAGAGAAGTGAAAGAACCTCACGGTTTTCGCACTAGCAAGGGGTGACTAGTGTCATGACCAACCTGTATTTTCTGGGACAATAGCTGGACTTCCTAAGCCATTACTCTATGAAGCAGTACGAGGGGTTTCGCTATCGGAAGTTGGGGATACCATTCCATATATGGCTTAGTGGATTTTTTTGAAATTCGAGTGAGATCTCGTGTTTGTAAAGTCGACGGTGGATATTTGTGGAATAAGTAATGGGGAATATCTCCGGGTATATGAGAATCGAGAAGCATGGGGAGTTACTACTGGACTTGGAGGGTAGTGGAGTGTTGAACTTAGTGTTTAGCCACCGTGCAGAGTAGTCTTTTCACTGCTAGCCCTCTTGTCATACCAAGCATGTTTTCATCACTAGTTTTCTCCCGACTCTTTTCCAGCTCTTCCTTCCCCTCTCAGACTTGATGCAATACCTTACCCGACTGTGGTTTCCAATCTCTTGCTATCTAATTTTGGCATTTCATGCTATCCCGTATGCTGGGATATTCTTGCTCTTTCGGTTCTTGCTATTTTCCCATATTACCTGAAAGAGGGGGTCATTCTCGCCCTCCTTTATCTTACTAATTTACCCAAATAAGAGAAATAAATTGAGCAATCGAGTGCCCCTAATGGGAAATCTAGCGTTTCGTTTTTTATCTTCCCCGTGGGCGATGAGAAAATGAACCAGTGATATACCATGACCGCAAACAGCCATCTTAGAGTGATGCCCCAATGGGCAAACACCGCTAGTTCTTTTTTATTTATTTAAAAAAACGAAGGGCGCGACGGTAGCTGCTGTTGTATGCAGCCCGGATCTGGGGAGAAGGGCTAAATTTTGGCGATATGCAACGGCGGTCCTTTCGAAAAACGCTTCGAGGTTCGGAGTGTAGTACAATGCATTTGCCTAGCGACTTCATCTGCTGAATTAATATTGCCAGTTTGGTGCCGTGCAGTCCCCTTCATAGCAAGCGAACAACCCTGGACGATAATAGCTGAGACCAATCTGAGGAGACCTAGAGGCTAATACTGGTCAACCCCCGTTGGTTCTTTTTAATAATTCTGAAAGCCCTTGGGTTTTCAACTGCTGGGGAATTCCTATAGTAGCCCAGGACAACTCTATATGCGAGAGATTCTACGGTGAGATATCATACCATACAAAAGTGGCATCACATATCATTATAATTTTGTTCTGGGGCAGAACCACCCTCAGCCCTGCCCTCCATAGTAATCACGGAAACCAGGACTTGCTTTTTTTAAAAAATAAAAAATAAAAAATAAAGAGGAATACTATTGCCCTGATTAGGGCTTTCAGACCATTCAAGTCAATCGAGCCTCGAATATAAAGCCAATTTTACAAACCTTCAACATCCACATCCACAGCCTCCTCACCACGAAGAGAAAGCATCAGCACACTACCACCTGAAGTTTTACTACAAAAGCGCCAACACTGCACACATATCTCATTCGAAGTTAGACTCCTAATTTTACACCCTCTTTCTATCCTCTGACCCCCCCAATCCCGGCGATGCCAATCTTAGAGGGGGTAATACTCGCCCAGTTAATGGGGTTCCTACTCAGTGGAGCAGGTACAAACAAGGACTTCGACATGGCACTGGTCCAATTCGAGAAGGTGATCCATGATATGGCTATTAAGCACCTTAAAGTTCCGGAGGAATCAGTCGGGAGGTTTATCCAAGATCAAGTTCAGGTGAACCCCAGCACATTTCTAAAAGCAGTTATTATTATTGCTATTATTGTTATTATAATGATTGCATAAAAAGCTGATTCTGGAGAACAAATTATAGGAGATCCACAAACTCTTTGGACAAGTTCATGCAATCTCCGAGAGATACCAACTGTGGGGCAAGACACCCAACTACTTCTGTAAGCGTGACATTGCGAAGCAAGCATGCGGTTTCCCGGGACAGTTGATAGCGGGTTTCCTCCTCTCGGGCAAGCAAATCCCAGAATTCTCACCGGAAGACGAGCAGCTAGTTCAGGATCTTGTTGCTGTTATGGAGAACGAAGAATCTGTCCATGACTTCTTGGACACGAAGCCTTATGTTGACCATTGGGGGGGCATGAGTGAGCAGGATTTCATTGATTTGGCACGCCGTATTGTGGTAAGCTTTACTTTTTGTCTTCCCTTTTCCCAGCCTGTGGCAGTGGTTGTGTTTCGGTGGCTAATGGGGCCTAAGATTGATCTTAATGCCATGCACGAGCACACGGATGAAGACAACAAGTTCATGGCCCTGACGCGTGAGGAGAGGATCGAAGACCTATTGGATCTTTTGAAGGCTTGAAATATTTTCTTTATTTGCCGTTCACCAATGCTAACGATCCAGTAGAAATGCAAAGGGACCCTCTACGCAATGTGGAAGATGAGTCTCTACGAAGAATGCCTCAAAGACCCCCGGGGAATGCAGATTGTATCATCCTCTTGCCTCCCACTCCCCCTTCCTCCAATGTAACAGACTAACATTCCTAGCGCTTTGTTGACAACCAAAAAAACAACTGGCAAAAGAAGTCCGAAGGGCGCAAGCGCAAGCTCCGTGATGCAGAGATCGAAGAGCAAGAGGCAGTGACTGGAGTCCGTGCTAAAAAGCGCCGTCAGGCAAAATCTAAGCCGGAGGTGCCTCTTGAAGAACTCGGAATGGAGTACTTTGACGACCCGCGCGGAGTACCATTGGCACCTCCGGAGAAGCCGCTGGCCAGGAAAGGCGTCAATACCGGGAGGACCAGCAGTACGCCTAAGAGAATCTTTCGTGGACCGAAATATCGGGCCATCGAAGCTATTAGACAGGCCAGCACCGAGCGCGAAGCGCCACAGTCGGCCAACAAAGTGGAGGAATTAATGGTGCCGGCCGAGGTTAGGTTGGAGAAGCCATTGCATCTTACCATTGTGCCTGCTCAGGGTTCTGCTGTTCGGGAGGCGGGGATGGTTTTGTCTTTGAAGGCTTTTCAACCAGCACAAGAGGATACTGGTATCTCCCGCGGGAATCAGAATGCGGAGGTTTTGAGGGAGCAAGTTCAAGAACACCTTCACGAGCCTGGGCTCCCAGAGGTGGTTGAGGTTCCTAAAGTTGTCACTGGATCGCAGGAGTACTTTGGCGCCGGCATGGATAACATGGAAGCTGCTACTGCTCAGGAATCCGACTTCGATTCCTGGGACTTTCTTTTGGACCCCAGATTCCTGGTTCAAGATGATACTCCAAGGAATGCCCTAGATGACGTTTTCGTAGCTGACAATACTAGTGGGCAGACTTTCCCCATGGCCTCAACTAGCGGTTCCGGCGGCAGCAATGTCCCGGGCATGGACTTCTTTGGTTCTGGGCTCGGAACCTCATCCGGGCCTGGGGCGTCCCAGTCCTTGAGTAATGCATCCGGAAGAGTCCCAGCCAACATCAAAACCGAAAATTTCGGCGGAGGGCCTGGCTATAATCCTGCCCAATTGAGGGAAACTCCAGGCACCCAAGTGCTCCGGAACAGCTTTCCTTCCATTCATAGCACCACCAATGGCATTTCCAATCCCGCATTCCAGGGATTCAATTTCAATGAGCAAGTCTCTGGCACTCCTAACCCGCACTTCTTCCAAGTAGGTCATTTCCCCGCTCGACATGATGTGGCTCCCTACCAATATGTCAACCCGAGCTGGCTTCAAAACTCGGGCCAATCCTCATATCCCGCCCCAAACACCGCCACCTCTTCCTCCGCTGGCGCTGCTTCTAACGTCTTCCAGAATAGTACGTTGTACTCGGGCGAGAGCGAGGAGGCAGGCGCCATCGAATCAATGACTGGGAATGAGTGGCTAGCCCGGTTTGACGGGGATATTAAAGACGAGATGGACCTGTTCCCATTCTAAAAAAACAATTTATTTATTCAATAGTGACCACCAGAACGTTGCGATCTTGAATATGACCATAACTCCCCACTTTAGCCCATCCCACTTCTGCTTTCTATTTTTATTTTTTTTACTTCTTTTCCTCTTTTTTGATTTCTCTATCGTTTTTACGTGGGTGGGTTTACGTTACCTTATTGTCTCCTCCCACTTGGTTGAGTTGAGGATGTTTGTAGTTACATTGTATCATGCTTTTTTTTTTCATTTTTCTCCTCTTCCTTTCGAACACAGCCTTAGATGGCCGGCCTTTTTTGGCCAACAAAATGTTCGTTAGGTCCTCGTTTGTTTATCAGATATATATCTGTCATGGGGCTATTGTTGGTCAAGTACCACCCTCACATCCGGCAGCGTTTGCATCTGCCTGTTGTTAGCACCTTTTTGTCTGTCGGTTTGTCCCCCTCTGTATGTATGTACGTTCGTATGCATTGCCTGTACGTGTTAAAAAATTTAAAATACAAAAAAAATTTGAAAAAAAAAACCTGGTTAACTTGGAGCCCTTGTTTGTAACGGAAGGAGGTGGGCTCACTGTTTGGTTGATGGGCCATTAAGACGATGGCTAGGTGTTGTCTATACTTTAGTCTATCGAGGGGAGTGCCGTTGGAAGTACAGTATCAGTCCAGTACGAGCGGAAGACAGACTACTCATAAATAATCACTCGGCCACTAGCCGCCATAAGAATCGTTTAGTAACCAGACGGAGGCCAAACCCCACCAAAATTGCGGGTTTTCTAGCTACGATAACTCCACAGGTATCTTAAAGCTCAGCTTAGAAAAAAAATTTGACATGTCTGAAGTGTAATATATATTTATTACGGCCTTCTTTCTGCTGTTTGTAGAGAGCTGCGGGCACGTGAACTGGGTGAGGTCGGTTGCAATTTTCCGTATCATACCTTCTAGTATCTTGGCAGGTGCCTCGTAGGGATGGGAGGGGGAAGTCCTACACTCTTTCGTGTGTGCGTGCTACTGTAGCGGATTACTTTTTTTTTCTTTTTTCCGTGTTGTTTCTGCCCATAGTGGTTGTGCAGTGGTGGCTCGAAAACCGTCACTTTTGATGTGTTTTGGCCCCTTCTCTGGTTTACTGAACGACCTCATCTGTCCGTAGCAATCTCTCCTGCCATAGACCCGTGATAAATGACCGAAAGCTGGACATAATTCCATGGACTGGATTCTCATGGCTCACGGATCGCGTAAGAACTTCTCCGTTATACGGTCGTCAATGTGCGATACAGTGTGTCCGTAGGTTGCCCATCTGAAATTCTCCCCCACTTATAACTGTTTTTTTGTGCCCCGTCGAGCCTCTACCCCTCTTCTCCCCACCAATACTAGCATTGGTGTTCCTGTTGCGATCGATTCCTTTAACAAAAAGCGATCTCACCTCTAGCTATCAGTAATCAGCGCTTTTCTAGCCTCTCGTATACTGCGGGTGCATCTACTCGCAGGGCAAGCGGGTACTGCTACGAGGTGTTGGAGTCCGACTCGTGGCCCCCTCTGCTGTGCTGTGTCAAGCGGGATATTTCACTTTTTTTGCTCAATCATCTTGCGGCACGGATACCAGAATGTTCCTATCAAGACTATTGTGGGTATCTGGAAGGCCTTGCACCTAGTCTGGGGGTTTGAACATGGATCTCCGGGAAGCACTCTATAATCTTATTAGGTGCGTAAACCATACCTTGCAGAGAGTGTAGCAAGGTCGTGCCTTGTGCCATGCGAAATCCGAGCAAAGAGGATAGTCAGATGATGCGGAGCGGCTGAGGGCCGGACCTGTGGGCGTGAGTGGTATCCTAGTAGCATAATAACTCGAACATGACTCTTGGGAATTTTATCAAGCTTGCCAATAGCGAAGCGCCAATGCAAGTACTGACACTCATTGGGGAATCTCTCTCACTTCGGGGGCGACCAGAGTTCAGCGGAGCTCATGCACTGCAGCGGAGGGAAAGGTTCCTGGTTTGGATCTATCGTCTCAATTGTTGCCATCCCACCCCTCCCTCTTCTACAACACTGCATAATACTAGTGGTATCAAAAGTGCGGTACAGTACCCTCCAGTTAGTCTACCACCCAACTAGCAAAACCCGAATCTGGTCCCCAGCCGCTCTCAATTAGAGACGAATATTCTGTAGACTGCGTAAGCTTCCCAGCGCGGAGTTTCGTGTCGGGACGGTGGTTGTCTACTCCATAGTAACACGGAATCTATGATATATTGAGAACTCGCTTGACCTGGAGCCTTCCACTTGTTTTCAAAAAAGTTTCCGAGGTGGTATTTGTCCTACGAGGGAGGGGAGGGGTGAGGGCTTTGGGCTTCGGGTTTGTGGGGATTTGGTTAGGGTTCTGCCTGTACGGGTATGGGATCAAGCGAGCTGGAGGAGATAGTTGCGAGTACCGTATGATAAAAGCATTGCTTTCGGGCGCTGAAAACGTATTTCCTTTCGAACGGTGGATACCGGAATCGCTTCCTATAGTGAAAGCTATATTTTCACCCATGCGGGAATATAATTATCAATTGCATGGCAGGGAAACGATAGTTCTATTTGTATGGTTGGGAAACCGTACTGTATTCGAGTACTTGGTCTGGTAGCCCCCCCTACTTCCGTTCCCCTACATTTCCTGCCGACGCCGAACATCCAAAACCAGCCCACATCCTACGAGTACCTCCCATCACCCACCGCCGAAAACTGCTTTTGGAGGAAAGAAGAAGGGATGGTGTAGCACACAAATTTCAACAAATCCCACCTAGAAGTCGTAACCCGCAATACCAGTCATTCCTATAGATAAGACTTTCCGCGTGGGATTGAATAAGAAAAGAAATAAAAACATAAACAAAAACCGAAGGAATACACATGAAAGATATATCCGCTGAGAACACTAGCCTATGAAGCGCGTAGATGAAATTTCTGATAACAAGGGTCTAACTTAGCCTCCCGCCCCCCTACAAACACAGGAGTCCAGCCCGAACAAGACCCTCCCGATGACCCTAAAAAAAAAAACGAACAAGAGAGGTGTACATAATATTATAATGATAAATTCCTTCTTGTCATGATGAATTAGCGGGGGGATGGATCTGCTTTGAGCGTAGAGACAAGTAGAGGAACAACCCAACCCGTGAGGTGACAACTGGGAAAAGGATATATTTGGCAAAATCAAAGGGGGTGGATCATTTCCAGGATGCGTTGCAAACTTGATGCCTTAAGCTCCCATGTGCACGAAAGGCGCCCAGGCGAGAAAATTATTTGGTCGTTGGTCTCGAAGTTTCTTCACAGCTTCGTGAAAAGCGACGGACACCCGGTAGTGCTCATTGCCGCTTCCTTTGTATTCAAAAAGGGAGGTGTAGAAATCTCTTGTCACTTCACTGGAGGTATGGTCGACTGTTTCCCACATGTTTGCAAACGTATGACTGAATCCAGCGAGCTGGAATGCACTGGCTAGATGTATGACTTCGTCGGCTAATCCAGCGGAGGGGTTTGTGGCTGAGGAGCAAGCGGAAAGATAGGCGATCCGGGCATTCTGTGCGACCATATTAGATATATCTCGCGCCAGTAGTTTATCAGCATCGTTCCCCTCCGGAGTGAGCAGAACCAGGTGGCTGTTTGAAGGATTGGTACTGGAAATACCGTGGTAGGCAAAGTGGACAATATCATAGTGTTGGGCTTGCCGGAGGACTTCTGCCGGAGGAGTTGGACTGCTCAATTCCGTGATGATCACTGAATTTTGAGCCGCCGAATCACGTATATATTGAACTTCTTTATCCACACCTGGCAGATTTATTGCACCGGGTGTTTTTGCCATGGAAACAAGAAGTAGACGGGGGCTCCGTTTTTTGACAATTTTTGCTTTCTTGGAGCGTTCCGCTGAAAAAGAAGTACCATATTCGTCAAATAACCGGAGCTGTGTCTCACGTGCATAGGAGAGGACTTTGATCGTTGGGATATATGTCGAAATGGCTCGACTCAAAGTGTTACGGGTTGACCCTTGCGAATGGTCCCCAGCCGCATGAAAAGGCGCCATACTTAATTGCCCTACCCCGATCCACCAGATCCACTTCAATCTGGTAGGGTCATGAGTACTCTCACTGGAAACGTCCCCGCTGCATTCAAGATGGTCAAAAACGGGTCCTACTGCTGCATCCCATAACCAAATGAGTAGGTCTTTCATTATTCTGTTATCCTGGCCTCGTTTAACCAAGTTTCCACCTCCGAAATTAGCCAATTGCCCCATACAATGGCTTTTTTTTTCGTGGTTCAATTCTGGAAGTTCCAATGAAGTTATAGCTGAGGTGGTGACAATTATGGCGTCGCTCCTAAAATCGGTGCAGTTGAAGACAATGATAGGACCATCTATCGCCATCTCCATCAGATCCCCCGGAGAGGGAGGGAGCATGAATCCAGCATAGCCAGGTAATGACCGGATGCTAGTTAGAATTGTTTCCATCTCTCTGACAGCCTCCCAACGTCTTGATACAGCGCGATTTCGGCACCGGCCCGGCACTTTGCCACTTGTGCAGTCCATTGAATCTATCGCCGAGTCAATCTCAACCCGGAGGCGGTTAAATTGGTTGAATTTGAGCGGGTGATCGGTTTTAAGATCTGAAACCTCGGACCTTGAGTCGATTGTAAAGCCCATAATTATTCCACGGCTGAGCTCTAGTAGCTTAAGGCTGTCATAGGCTTCTCTCCCAGCCTGAAGAGCCACAGAAGCAGCTTGTGATGCTAGCCCATAATATCCAGACAGTATGTGCTGTTGGTCATCTCGTTTTAATAATCACAGATTGACACTTGACATCAACCTGACCGCATCCTCGAGTATGGAACCTGATTCACGAGACCTTCCAGTAAATAATAGTAAAGTAGCTCCTATGTGAGCTGCGTCGATCCGAAATCGGAGGGGTGAGGTGCGGCAATGAAAAGCCCCGCGGCACAGACGGAGGCTTTCGTTTAAGTCCTCTATTGAGTAGTCTTGTACTGAGCCCAGAGTCACGAGTCTTGATAGAAAATTTAGGCCAAGGGCAAGGAACCTGACCGCTAGGTTAGGGTGATTTTGGGGTATAGCAGATAGTGCCTCCTCGTTGTGGTCAATGGCCTTTTGGAGGTCATCAAGGCCCTTGTCTGCTGAAACCTCACAGAGAACTTGTCTCCCATGTTACCGAGTCTGGCTGCTCGATCCGGGTGACCCTGGGGTGTAGCAGATAGTGCCTCTTCGCCATGCTTGAAGGCTTTTCGGAGGTCATCAAAGTCTCCTAACCGCTGAAATCTTGCAGAGAAATAGTTTCCCAAGTTATTGTGGATGGCTGCCCGAACGGGGTGATCTTGAGGGGCAGCAGCTGGTGTCTCTTCACTGTGCTTAATGGCTTTCCGAAGGGGATCAAGGTCTCCTAACCGCTCAAAGCTTGTAGAGAACATCACTCCCAGGCTATTGTGCCGACCTGCTCGATCTGGGTGATTCTGGGGGGTAGCAGCGAGTGCCTCTTCGCCGTGCTTAGTGGCTTGTTGGAGGTCATCAAGGTCTCCTAACAACTCAAACCTCCTATAGAGGCAGGACCCTAGGGCATCGTGTCCGGATGCTCGATCCGGGCAATCTCGGGGGGTAGCATCTAGTGCCACTTCGCTGTGCTTAATAGCTTTTTGGAGGTCATTAAAGTATCCCAGCCGTTTAAATCTTGCAGAGAACCGGAGTCCCAGGTTATTGTGTGCGCCTCTCCGCGCCGGGGAATCTTGGGGAATAGCAGCTAGAGCCTCTTCGCCGTGCTTTATGGCTGTTTGGAGGTCATCGAGGTCTCCTAGCCGTTTAAATCTTGAGGAGATTAGGATTCCTAGGTTACTGTGACTGCATGCTCGATCTGGGTGATCATGCGGGATAGCAGCTAGTGCCTCTTCGCCGTGCTTAATGGCTTTTTGGAGGTCGCTAAGGTTTCCTAGCCGATCAAATCTCGTAGAGAACCAGAGTCCCAGGTTATTGTGTCGAATTACTTGATCCGGGTGATCCTGGGGGGTAGCAGCTAGTGCCTCTTCGCCATGCCAAATGGCTTTTTGGAGATCATCAAGATCTCCTAACCGCTCAAATCTTGTAGAGAGCCAGATTCCCAGGTTATTGTGCATACTTGCTCGATCTGGGTGATCATGAGGGGTAGCAGCTAGTGCCTCTTCGCCGTGATTAGTAGCGTTTTGGAGGTCATCAAGGTCTCCTATCCGCTCAAACCTCTCAGATAACATGACTCCCAGGTTATTGTGGTGAGCCGCGCGATCTGGGTGATCCTGGGGGGTAGCATTTAATGCCTCTTCGCTGCGCTTAATAGCCTTTTGGAGGTCATCAAGGTCTCCTATCCGCCTAAACCTCCTACAGAGGCAGGTTCCCAGGTTACTGAGTCGGGCTGCTGCTTTATCCTGGTGATCTTGTAGGGTAGTAGCCAGCGCCTCTTCGCTGTGCTTAATGGCTTTTTGGAGGTCGCGAAGGTCTCCTATCCGCTCAAACCTCGTAGATAGCATGACTCCTAATTTATTGTGTCTACTTGCTCGATCTGGATGATCTTGAGGGTGGTGTTTAGAGCTGCTTTGATGTGCTTAATAGCTTTTTGGAGGTCACCAAGGTCGCCTTTCCGCTCGAACCTCAAAAAGAACCCGACTGCCAAGTTATCGTGACCGCTTGCTCGATCTGGGTGATCTTGATGGGCCGCAGCTAGTGCCTCCTCGTTGTGGGCAATGGCTTTTTGGAGGTCACCCAGGTCTCCTATCCGCCCAAACCTGCTCAGGAATATGAATCCCAAGTCTATAAGTGCGTTGATATGATTCGGGTCGCCGGAACCAGTCCATCTCACTATTTCCTCATTGATGGCCGCAGCCATTCCCAAATCATCTATGTCACCCAACCGCTCAAATCTTGTTTGCAACATGTCACTCCAACTATCCAGCATACCCACTGTAAGTCGGAAGGGGTCCATTGTCGTAATAGCATTTCCAGCCAAGGTAATTGCTTCATTAAGCAAGGCAATGTCGAGTGTTCGCTCGTATTGAGAAAAGAGGTTATGACTGGTCTCTATCTTGTCATGCAGATCTTCCGACCACTCCATGACTCCAGAATCTTGACTTGGTGTGCCGCTCCCACAGCCCCACTCCCCACTTGTGTCTGCCGTTTCTGCCATCCTTCGTCTAAAAACACCTCCAGCGTGGAAGCTTTCACACAAGGCTTATAGGTTCCACAACTGTCCAGCTTCGTCTTCTTCGGGAATATGGTGCTTGCCACCGAACGGTGCTTGTCGATAGATATTGTGGTGGATGAGGGGCATCTGCCGGGACGAGAAAGTAATAACTGACCGCTGGAGTTAGCGCAACTTAGGACGGAGACTGTGTGTTGTAAATACCTACCGCACCCTATAAGGCACTTGGATTTCGTAATCTCTTGGTGCACTCAAGCTCTCTTAATCCCGGGTTTCTACAGGGTAAACACCTCCGCCTTTTGGGTGTAGTGGCCCCTTGATCAGATCTTCGTCCCTCGGCTGTTCAGTTTTTAGGCCTTGTTCCCGAGTTTGAGAATGAGGGGATCTGATATAAGGAGCTCACAAAGTTAGCGAGTGGCTTTCTAGCATGGTCCTTTGGCTTTCAACTTACCTATTCAGGCGGCAGGGTATTTCTTTCCTCCGGAAACCTATTTCTATCGTCCAGCTATTATTTCACCTCACTCTTTCTCTTTTTGTTTCTCCTGCGGTAAGAACGCTGTATGAAGCTCGAGTGCAGTAGGTGTAGCAGTGAGACGGTGGAGATTGTGTACTGCACGGTATTCGAATATCCTCATATTTCGAATTCAACAAGGCAAGGCTGAAAGCGTACTGTACAATACAGCATGGGAACCTCGAAGCACAAGTGGTGGCTGGGCGCTCCACCCTCTATGCAAGTGGCTGAGATCAGCCGCCCATAGTTCATGCCTCTTACCATATGCGTTCCCAGTCTGGCCTTGCCCATTACCCCAGGAGCAGTCTTGTCTCGCTCGCGAAAGTTAATTCACCGGCAAAAAATCCATACCCCAGCATTTCACTCCGTGCCCAGACGAGCACCCCCTACTACAACCAATAGCATGGATGGTCCTTGGGTGCTCCCGATAGCTGCACCTCGCCCACTCGTATTCGAGGGGATGCAGCTCAGGTGCGTGAGGTGATCTTTTGTATTTACGACAGACGACATAAATGGCCGCAAAAGAGAAGAAATCCACTGCCGGTGAACGCCTTGATTTTTCACCCAGCGAGGCTTTCCCGTGGTCAAAAGCTCAGGGGCTAGGGGCGGGGGAGTGGTGGGGCGGTACTCGTAACAAATGGGGGGATAGCCAACGGAACGCAGCCTTGCAGTCGAAATAAACCAAAGAACCGGCGCAGGAATAATTCTCAAAGATTCCAAACCACGACCACACCTATAGGAAAATATATTTCTTAACAGAACCTTTTAGAGCGCACTCCTCCCTATCGTCATATTTGCTGATTTCCAATCGGAACAATTATTCGTGGAGGTGGTAAATTTTCGAATTACCGTACCCATGAAAGGTCTTTTTCGATGTTATGATACTTGAGCAAAGCCTCACTACTTTGTAATAGGTTACGTAAGCAGGACGAGTTTCCTAAGAGTGATGATCTCAACAGCCCTTGCAACCATACACCAAAAAGAACTATTGGCAAACGTCAAATTCTGGTCCGGCTGTTCATTACTCCCTCTAAGGTGAATTTACCATGCTACCATTACAACTATCGGTATCCCACTTCCTAAGCATGAGTCGATCTACCGCTCCCAACCGACTAATGCCCAAAATCCCCACAGCAAACTCGAAGATCTGTCGACGAGGCTCAGCCGCCAGCGGCAACTAGCATTGACTACCGTTCATAAAGCAAATATTCCTACGAGTAAAGCCAGATAGAGATGATTCCCCCAAGTTGGGCTCCGCGGAACGGTTGCTTATGCATAGGCAAAAGTGGAGGACGGTCAGTCTGTTTTTCAAAGCAGAGGATGTACCATGCCTTTGCACTGATACCGGGACTCGCACTTTGGCCCCTCGTTACCGGCGGGCGTAAGGATAGTTATGCCTGGCACTTACAGTACTATGATTCACTCATCTGCCGGCCATCAAGCTTCGGCCATCCACCGGTATATCCGTGACTTGCTAAGACTTCGAGCGCCTTCCCTGTGTAGCTAAAGCTTTATACCATACGTTTTCTTCCTTCTCCCTCTTTCCCCCTATTCACTTGTTTGCCGGAGTGGCTCTCTTGCTGAAGTTCGCCTCTACAGGTGCGGGCCAAATTAATACCATACATGCGCCCCAAAGGACAACTACCGGTGTTACCTGAATACTGCTGAAGATCCTACGGCTAGCAGCGGAACGGCAAGATCTCACTACAGTTTCAACACATACCGTACCACTCCCCCGTAGTCAGGTTTTTTTTATACACAATTCCTCCACGACCAGAGTCCCGCCCGCAACGAGGAGCCCTGCCCGATTCTTTTTTCCTTAAATCGATGGTATCATAAGATACTCTATCATAATATGACCTTTGGAACATGCCAAGCACAACCCTAGGTATTATACAACCGTTGAATCGGGAAGGATCCCATACGGTGGAAGGTTTAAAAAAAACTCCCAAATAAAATCAGAACCGTAACTGCAGTAATGATGTGATACCAGTATCATAAATATCAAGAGTAAACACGGTGAATAAGTGATTCCATACGAGGCTCTCATCGCACAACGACTCATCCACGGAACTTACAATCCAATTCGCGTACCAGTGCCGTACAGTACTGTATCCGTAAATGAAAACACAGGATAACAAGATACAGAAATTACGGTACACCTATCAGTTGCCTCTTCCAATCTACCCCAATATATCGACATAATACAACACAGCCCCTCCCACGCACACCAACATTCCCCCCAAAAAGCGGGAAGAAGAAAAATCCAACGGGAGCGTAACAAGTTAGCGTGGCCCCAAGTCGCAGTGGCCCAATACCGTACGGCACCAACAGGAAAGATAGTATCCCGCTAGAACCACCGCCATCTTTAACAATACAGGATCATACCACACCATATCACGAGATGTTACGGTACTGTACTTAGTCTAACTGGATGAGACCATTTCGGCAACCCTACCACCGCTGCCATACGTCAGACACCGGCAGGACAAAATGGAGAAAGGAAATCAACGTTTCCCTTCCTCCCTCGAGGTGGAGATATGGTATTATAATATCTGGGAAGTAAAGTTGGAGCTTATGGAGTTTGGAATCCGATTGCTTGAGAGGCGGTGGCGAGCAGGGATTATTTTGGGGGACCGATTTATGATTACGGACTTGGGAGGGGTGGTGAAAAGTTGGGGGATATCATAAAAAAAAAATCCTCTCAATTATCATGTAGATAATCAGTGTGCTGTACTGTATGATATATTCCAGACACGAAGTTTGTCGTTGTCGTGCGCGGTGGGCTCATCCAGCCAATATGGTCCCGGTCGTGAGATAGGTGTTTAAAAAACGCGAGGACTTCGATTGATGATTAATATTCTAATTTCTCTATCTGCTTTTTCTACCCCGCCAAAGCCCACCGCGCCACCAAAACTTCAACCACCATACACATACTCCTAATCCGTGAACCCGTCTACCCAGACCCCAACTCCAATCGATCAAAAGTGGTCCAGATTCGCATTCGATTCACCCTTCCCATTTTCCAACTGCCAGGGCCCCTTCATGGCAGCCCACTCCCACCCCTCCAACCCACGACGGAACCCAACCCAGCCGTCCACAGTCCCCCAGTCGTCAGCCGGCACTTCTGGAATAATCTGATAGTACCAACGGATGATATTGTTTGATTGACGGTTGTAGGTCCGCATTGCCGAAACTTCCCTTAACGGGGGCACTTTATTTGGCGCATGGAGGAGGTAGCACTTTATCAGTGTTGCTATGGTTCGCTCCGTCGCAGCCTCCACACGGCATCTCTTCGAGTCGGAGTTTGGGTAACGTAGACCGTGATGAGATAGCGACCAATGATAAAGCGGGACCGACTCCGGTATCTGATTTGTGAGGTGAAGCATTTGTAGGTTTGGAAGAAGCTTGTGGGCGGTGTGGGCGAGCTCGTACTAGTCGGGCGCCGATATTAGTTTCCGGTCCGATGCTCGAGGGGCCCGGGGGTTCATATTACCCAATCATTCTCAAAGTCAAAAGCCATCCATAACTCTTTCAGGAACCTACACCCCTGTCCAAGCTTGCGCAGGTGAAATATACTTAGAGTGGGTACATGTTGGGGGGGAGCGGAGGGCCTCAGTGCAAGCGTTTTTAGTGTTTTCCCGTGATTCCCGGCAATCCTCTCAATCAAGGACGACATATCATTTGAAGCCATGCGGGGCATATGGGCGAGGAAGATCGTTTCTAACCCACCACATTTTCCCAAGAAATCTTTGACGTTTGGGTTGTAGCACAGATAAATCTTTTTGAGATTCGTCCATTCCACCTCCAATTGACAGGCGAACACCGAATTGTGAAAATTTCCCAACTCCAAATAAGTGAGCTTAGAAAAATCAATCACTCCTGCGATCTGTATCGCATTTCTGTGGGTTGGTATTATATGAAAGACACCGAGTACAAGCTTCTCGAGCTTCCTAAACTTAAATGGAGCGTTTAAGGGTTGAGGTTCCGCGACCCCGGAGCTCTCCGGCTGGTCCTCCAGGGGCCCGAAAATATGCTCGAAGCGCTCCGGATGATCTGAGCGCCCAGAGTGAAGAACGAGTGAGGTCAATGTTGCCTGGGACGTTTCCAGAACTTTACGAAAAAGAGCCGCTACGCCATTGATCGCCTGTTCATCCTCTTCTATTCCCCTTATATCCACTTGAAGGGAAGTAAGGGGAGGGAGTTGAGCTAATGATGCCGGCGTGTCGGACTCAATAGTGATGCGTAGGTGCTTGAGCCTTTTAAGAGAAACTATAGCCCCGACCAAATCCTCCTGGAGATCAAGGTTGTCGCATAATCTGGAACAGCATTAGCCTGGCTCAGAGATCCTGCCTTTGGTTGTATGCAATAAGGAAGCATGACAAGATGGAGGAAACCTACTGTAGCTCTTCGATATTAACGCAATTTTTGACCAATTGCGAGATGGACTGTGGAGAGAGCCCCCCGTAGCCAGGAGAACCGGAGCCTTCTCCCGGGCAACCGTCCGGATACATCAAATACAGCCGTTTCACATACCTCGCGATCTGTGTAGCGGGCAAAGAATCTGCGGTGCTCACGGTATCCCCTTTTGTAAAGTCGGTGGAAAGATTCTCTAAAAGTTTCACCTGACCAGGAAGTGGGATATTCAAATGATCAGGCAAATTCGGTCCCTCTCCCCAATTTCCCCAAACAGCAATGCTTCGGTAGAGATAGAGAACAGATATGTTGTAAAGCGTCCGCGAGGCAAGGCAGAGAGAGAGCAGCGTCCGGGTATGGGTAACCTATGCAGTTGCAAGTTAATTAATGTGGGGTGGAAAATGAGGGATAATGCGGCACTAAACATACATGTTGAATTATTTGCTCTAATATCTCGTTAGGAATGTGTAGGTTCTTATTTCCGGGAACTCCAACACCTGGAAGCCTCCTGGTGACCCAATCCCCCAACTGGGGATCTTTTTCTGACCTGTTGGACTTCTGATGCCACCGTACACGACAGTCGGTAGGGCGACCGTCAACCGCAGTTAATGCCAGAAAGCGAGGAGGCATTTCCTAAAAATCGTCAGCGTATATATTTCCAAACTCAATTGGATCAGGCTCGGGGTCTATTCTCGACTGTGTTTTTTCCGGAGATGGTGCGAAAGGGCAAGCGAGGATTAAGGAATCGACGGTGGGACCCCGGGATGAGAGATGACCGCAGAAGGATATCTGTCAGGATTGCGAGGTATTGCGAGACACGGCCTGAGCACACTAATGCACCGACAGCACTGACGGAGGGTCCGCAGGACAGAGGCGGGTTGTAAGTGATGAATGAATGGATACACTATCTCTGCCTCGGGATCGAGCCCCCGCAGAGGGCACGGATATATGATATACCGGTAGCGTTCCGGGCGCCGAAGAGGGGAGAGAAGACTCAGAAGGGGATCGAGGTTGCCGGGGATAATGGGAGTTCGGCATCAAGGGCTTACAACATTGAGGGAAGATAGTATCGCTCACCTACGGCACCAGTATGAGTCTTTTGCTGGTGGAACAGTACCGGCAATGGGGACTGGGGATGGATGGCGGTACTCGGGTACAGCGGGCAAAGAAGAACAAGAGTCGTGCTTTCAAATACTGCATCGCAGAGCACTGTACTCGTACACTTTTGTTTTTATTTTCCCCCTTTTTGGTGATGGGCGGGGGCGTTCAGTGTTCTCGGCTATCATACACTTGGTCCTGGGTGAAAAGTCCCCTCCTCTGCTTCCCTCTTCGCTCCAACACGCGCACTTTTGCGGATTGCTGAAATGATGACATCGTGAATAGGCCGTTCTGAAGAGAGTCTGAATGGTTCTAATGGGATGAATCATCGACAACAGGCAACCGCACCGCACTGAACAGGCGGTAGCCCTGTCCAAGGATAGTGCATTATCTCCATTATGGGTCAAGGAAGAGCTTCTCGGGGTCCGAGAGGCATGGTGTATGCGGCCCCGGTCGGGAGCGATGGCCTTGCACGAAGAACATAGCGGGGGGTCACTATGCCGTTACTCGAGAGGGGAGGGTTTGCTGTGAATGAATATTGGGACGGTTCATCTCTCATTCGGCTGAGTTACCGGGGATTGATAAAATTCGGTCGCGCATTAAATCCATCCCATCGGAAAATGTGGTGAGCTATGATACCGGCACAGCGCTCAGGTACCGTTGGTGTGCGAACCTGACTGTCCTGCCATGATCCCGTGGCGCCTCCGGTGCTATTTCCATCTTGACTTTGCCCCTGAGAGAAAAAAGAAAAGCTTTGTGGGAGTTCGTGCCTCACTGTTTGCTGACCCCCCCCCCCCCTATATTTGGGCAGGTGGAGAAATGCTAAACTTTTTCTTTTTCTCTATTATTATTTTTTTCTTCTTCCTTGCTCTGGTTGGCGGAATTTGTGCTTGTTAGTTGTGGTATGATAGAGGACACATCTGAAGGCTGGCTATGAACTTGTTCGCGCGTTCCACCACCTGCTCATTAGTACTTTCTACATTTCCGCTCTAGTGCCAGACATCCAAAACTGACCCTCTTGTTCACCTTTTGGTGGAGTTGAAAAGTGGTGTGTGTTTCTGCGATGAAAAGGACCTCCCTTAGCACATTGGCATTTGGCATTTCTGGTAGAAATCTTGGTGTCCATCATATATAATTATTTGTTTTGCCACTCTAGGCAATCTCTTCGCTCTTCACCCATTTTTCTTTTCATACGAAATCTTGACTACTTTCCATCCACCATCCGCGTTCTCCTTGAACTTAATAAAATGTTCATGGTTTACTTACTCGCTTCCTCATCATTTCTGTGCTCTTATTTGTTTTTTCCTTTAACCCTCCATGGTTGCCATTTATGTCTTTTTCTCCTCAATTATTCTCTCGTTGTAATTGCTTGACACCTTTCAATGTTCTTATGCCGGCACCCACCCACCTTCAAGAGAGGTCCCAGGTCATTGCAATTGGTCTGCAATTGAACCCATGGACAAAACAAATTCGCCTAGCGGTCGCAGAGAACAACGAGGTTGCGGATGACCTAGTTCTCCATCTCAACAATATATGGGAAAAGTTGCAAGTGCTATCAAATGAGTATGCAGAGAAGAGGACGGAGAAATCGGGGATGAACCAGGTAGCGTCACCACCCATGCCCCCAAAGGTGGGCCTCTCTTTGAAGAAAGAGATATTTCGTGACATATATCAGTACTCCTTGAGCAAGCAGATGAAGCGTGTAAACAAGTGGTTGGAACCCCTTGGTCGGTTCGTGAGGGAGTTGGTTAAACACCATTCCGGCGCTGACCTGGAAAGATTTGAACAGAGCCTGTACAACGTTGTGCTTGGGTTGACGTTGGTAGTGGATTTAATTTGCTAGCTTTATGATAGTCTCAAAAGCCTACTCACGAATGGGGAATGGGAAAAGGCATACCCAAAGCATGCTGGCCAACCAGAATGCGAGACTTGTGCTTGAGGGTAAAAAGAGGCTTGGCTGCGAGGCCTTGGCCCTGGAGTTACACGGTGTGCCCCTTCCACTTCCCATTACATTTTCTGTTCTAGCCTTTAACTTAACTTCGCTTCTGTACTAGGTAATCATACCGGGAACCCCTTTCAGCTTTGACGTACTCTTGAGAAACTCACTTCCCTCTACCGCCACATTGACACTCTATTTGGATTTGCCCATTCTCCCCGCCTCCGGCCTGCCTTGTGATACGACAAGGTCATTTCTCCTGTCCCAAAGCAGACATGTACCGTAAAATTACCGGCATCACTGGAGGAGTGGGAGTCCTTCTTGAAGGCTGCATGTGGTGATGTAACAGGCAGGGTATGAGGGTTGGGTAGCCCAAGGTACACCACGATAGTAACAGGCAAGAGTCTGGAAGCGAGGTTCAGGAACGGGAGTACAACCAACGCGAGTGGTACAATGCTTGAGGGGTTCGGGGGCTCAGGTCAGGGTTCAGGGGTTCAGGAGGATGCGAAGCAGAAAAGAGTGTAATTCCTAGGTACAGGTGTCCGAATTGGATCTAAGTTTATTTATACTCGTCGCGCCAATACATGGCTTATGATCGAGCACCCCCCCGACAGGGGCTTAGCGCTGGTCGGGACCCACCGCTGGGGCTGGGGCCCTGCTACCCCCGCAAATACAGGCAACTAAATACAAGATACCATAACCTCCGAACCCAAACCTTCCTGACCCATTAGAAATACCAAGGCACCTCCACAAACCAACACCTCCGCGAGCAAGCAACACACAAAGGCTAAGTACAAGTTCATCAACAGTCTGGCACCCACCCGTCCCACCTAACCAGGCCACGGGAATCCCAGCACAATCAAAAAATCACTACCACGGGCAGTATAACTCCCGTCTCACACCAAAATCCTCATATTATCATCACGTATTCTTATCATAGGTATCCCAACCTATGTAGAGTCATCCATATCCACCTCTTCTTCATGTTCCTCCGAGACCTCAGATTCTTGGGTATCTGGACGGGGGCGAGAAGGGCAAACAGGCGAGTGGGATTCATGCAGGCCATCACAGTTCACACACCTGGGTGTAGTATGGCTGCAGGGACAGCCGGAAAGGCGACAGGTGGCAGTGGGGCAGGAGTGATCGCCAGTAGGGTGAGGGAGGAGGCACCAGCGGCAGGAAGGAGGCAGGATGCATTTGATGCTGTGGTGGCCAAACTTATGACAGTTGGCACACTGGGTGTATTTGTTAAAACGTAAACGGCGTTCGGTTCGGTAGGTATTGGAAAAGGCGGAGAGGCATTTGCCAACAAAAGAAGGAGCCTTGGGTCCAGTGATGGAAATAACCACGGTTGAGGCAAGTTTGCCGATGCGTGCTATATCAGAGGTAAGCCACCTAGGCTGTTCGGTAAGGGATAAGCCTGAGTTAAAGGTAGTGAGTTCTTGGGCAAGCGATGCCAGAGGAGTGGAGGTAGCGATGCCATGTACCAGGAGCTGGGTGGCAGGGGTATCGAGGTGGACGGTAGAGGCGCCGGGAATGAGGTGCAAGAAGGTGCCAACTTTGCTGTTGACAGTTGTGGCTCTGATCGTGTCCATAGTGGTAAGGGTAACATGTCCATCCCAGAAGGAAACAGACTGGATAAGAGTAGAGGCCAGAGCCTGATTAATGCTGTCGCGTAGCTGTACAGCAGTAACGGTGAGGGGGGTAGTGTCGCGTTTGATGATGAGCCGACGCTCGCGCATAGTGAGGCCCTTTCTTTTGTCGGCAAGGGGCTTAGCCGAGGCAGAGGAGGATTTGGCTGGCTTGGGACCAGGCTTTGTGGGTTTCTGAGAGGGCTTCCTTGCCCTCCTAGCGACGGTAGCCCAAGATGGAGGAGCTGCCGGGCCAGGAGGTTGGGCATGAGGAAGGGTAGAAGGTAGAGGAGGGACAGAGGGCTGCTCTGTGGCGTCGGTAGTAGGAGGTGCCGGCGGGGCAGTAGTAGGAGCAGGCTGAGAGGGGATGGAGGCGCGGAGCTCGTCCAGTTCCTCAGTAAGGGCGGTGATGTGCCCGGTTAGCCCATCGGTCGCCTTCCTGTAGTCTTCATGCAGAATTTGCATCATGTGGATCATGATAGGGAACGCTTTTGCAAACGAGTTTGGTCCCGCGTGTCCCTGTTGCTCAAAAAACTCATCAAACATGCTTATGAAGGCCCCGTTAGGCTTATCAAAGTCATTCTTTGAGTATTGTGGTAGAGAGGTGGTGGTGCCACTGCGTGGTCTTTTAAGCGAGGGAGGGCCCTGAGGCCGGAATATAGGTGATAAGCGACCCTGCCCACAAGACTGTGAGGCCCCGTCAGGCTGTGTAGGAGGTTGCGGAACGAGAGGAGGAGAAGACTCCATGATAATAGTGATGAGGAGAAACTTTGACCCCGGTCGGGCCAAAGAAAGGTATCGTGGTGGATAAGATAATTCCCTGGCACGTAAGAAAGGGTGTCCGAATCATATCTAATTTTATTTATACTCGCCGTGCCAAAACATGGCTTATGGTCGAGCGATCATCCTATCGTACACCTACCATAAGGGCAGGCGAGCCTCCGGCGGACCACAAGCGGACCGGAACAGCGCTCGAAAGCAACCGCCTGGGGCCGGGATCCCCACAATACACCGGCGCGCGTAACAACAATATACAAGACCAAGAAACCTCCAAACCCATACCAGCCAGACCCGTCAGTGACCCCAAAAGAACACCACAAGCCAACACCCCCGTGAGCGAGCAAACACGAAAGCTAGGTACAAGGCCATCAACAGCCCCGATCACTCCTGCCCCAACCGACAAACCGACACCCAACCTGACAGGAACAGAGCGACCTAAGTCCTTGGTCCCACCAAGCGAGGGGAAGGTAGTTACGGCCCGCGACCATCACAAAAATAAAATAAATCAAAAAATATCAAATCCGGTCTTAATACCCTCCCGCAAGTCCCATATCATCCTCCACAGTAGAATCCCACCTATCACCCCCCACCGACCCGCCTGGAGAGTACCCCAGCTCAGCGAACTGTTCTGGGGTAAACTCCTGGAGGGCGGCGAATGTCCCATCCAGCGCAGCCCTCGAGACAGAAGCCGAAGCCTTGCCCCACGCCCGGCCACGCCCTCGCCCCGAACGCCGTTTGCGCCGCCGACCACCAGATGAACCAGCATCCCCGCCAGCAACATGCCCAACCTCCTCCACCAGTGCCCGCTTCCTAGCCTGCTGCCCCGGCAACCTCAACCCGAGAAAGTCCGACATACTGACTCCCACACTCGGAGGCGAGCTCACAGCTCGACGCCCTACAGGCGCCGCCAACGGGAACCGAGTCTTGTACCGCCCCACCACATACGGGTTCTCTCCCTTAGGCCAGTGCCCACGAGGAAAGTGCCCGGGGGGGAGGTCCGGCCCCTCAGCAACATCCACCAATACCGTAACCACCGAGCCGTCCGACGAGACAGATTCACATAACGACCTTTCATCGACGGGAGACAATGGCAGCTCCGGTCCGGCTGGGGGGGGGGAAGAACCGACGAACAAATCCGCGAACCAAGGCACACCAGGCACCCCGGACGCCACACCCGCGACAGGGCCAGCCACCACCCCGGGCTCAGCCACCAATGGCT